ATTGGGTCTGGGTTGGGGCCCAGAATCCAATGAAGACACAGGCTTCAAATACGGAGTTCACAAATGGAAGTTGATAAGCGGAAAGATCGTCTGTAAACGTTAAGCGACCACTTCCAATCCCAGTCCTAGAAACCAGAACTAAGATGGAGCAGATGGATCCTGGGTGCAAGGCATCATCGTTTTAGGGTGGAGTGTCTGCGCTGTATGATGGTGGCTGAGTCGTACTCATAGATAGGTACTGTACCGTAGTCACCTCTTATTGCTCCATTAGAACTTTTCCGACCCAGTACTTCGGCCAAGTTGAAGTGGAGGCATAACCAATATTCACTCAGGGAAAGTTACGGTATCAGACTGGTGTGTCATTTACACTGTCCAAATGAGCATCAGGCTAAGGCCCTCTGCCGGTCGAAGCACCGCGGCGTTTAAGACGGTATGGTATGGTTCAGCCCTGCCGGTTTGGTATCGGCAATTCTGACGCCGCGCCCGCCCGGGGGACCAAATGGAGAAGGATGGATGATGGATCGAACTCCAGCCAGACTGGATCCAGCGATTCCAGCCAGACACAGACGCCCGCCAAGGAGAACACGTTGAAAGTACCTGAGGGGGGAACCAAGAAAAGTCGCCGCTTCCACCCAGTTCTTCGTCTTCTTCTTCTTCTTCTTCTGCACCATCATCATCATCATCATCATCATCATCTCTAGTACAGTACATCAAACAATAAATAACACTATCCATCCACCAACCAACAAACCACATTAATAGTATCGATTATCCATTCATTGACATCAGAGTTCTATTCGTATAACTTATAGAGTCATTGCGGACACTATCAGCCCGCTAACGTACCCTCGTGCTTGGTGGAGTTCCAAATATTACAATTTACTGGATCCTAATCAGTAAGTACCCTGCCGCTGTACTGCATATATATTGCACCGGGTCACGGACTTTCCACCCTTCTTCTGCTTAGATCCTTCCCGGCTATTAACTAACTAAGGACTTACTTATCACTCACTCACTAAGCTCCGGGGGTTTCTGGCCACTTGGCGTTCATGTCCTGATCTGGGTTATATCCCCGATTTTCTTTCCCGCCCCCTCCTCTCTCTCTCAGTCCCCTTCATCTATTGTCTTCCCTTTCTTTTTCTTTCTTTTTCTTTATCTTCTTTTTACATCTTTTCCTCCTTGCTGCTACTCCTGGTCACCCTCGCGGCTATCTGGGGGTCTCCAACCAACATGGAGCAATCCTACCTCTCTTCCCCAGTGGAAGTACTCGACCATTTTAGCGTCACCGAAAGCTTTGGTCTATCGCAAAACCAAGTCGTGAAAGCTAGACAGAAACATGGCCCTAACGGTAGGTTGCCACCATATCAACGCTTTGTGGCCCGAGGGAAGCTGTCACTTTTCGGAACATGCTAATGCCAATCGTGTCATCCAGCCCTTGCGGAAGAGCCACCGACACCTCTATGGCAACTCGTTGCAGAGCAATTCAAAGACCAGTTGGTTCTCATTCTATTGGGATCTGCTGCCGTATCCTTCATACTGGCCCTTTTTGAGGAAGGTGACGATTGGTCTGCCTTTGTCGACCCGGTTGTGGTATGTTGCTAGAATGTTCTCTCAAAACTGCACTTCGATGGGGACGCCACTAACACCCTGTGCTGTACACTAGATCTTGACCATTCTGATTCTCAATGCTGTGGTTGGTGTCACTCAAGAAAGCAATGCAGAGAAAGCTATTGCTGCTCTTCAAGAATATTCCGCCAATGAAGCTACAGTAGTGCGTGACGGCAAAACCCAGCGCGTCAAGGCGGAGGACCTGGTTCCCGGAGATATTGTCCACGTCGCGGTTGGTGACCGTGTCCCGGCGGACTGTAGACTGCTCGCTATTCACAGCAACAGTTTCCGTGTGGACCAGGCTATCCTTACCGGCGAAAGCGAGAGCGTTGCCAAGGATGCTCGCACCATTCAGGACAAGCAAGCGGTCAAGCAAGATCAGGTTAACATGCTCTTCTCGGGTACAACCGTTGTGAATGGACACGCAACTGCTATCGTTGTTTTGACGGGTGGATCGACGGCCATTGGTGATATTCATGAGAGTATCACCTCTCAGATCTCGGAGCCGACTCCCCTGAAGCAGAAGCTCGATGACTTCGGTGACATGCTAGCTAAGGTGATTACCGTCATTTGTGTCCTTGTCTGGATTATCAACATTGAGCACTTCAACGACCCGTCCCACGGTGGTTGGACTAAGGGAGCCATTTACTACTTGAAGATTGCAGTGTCCCTGGGCGTGGCGGCTATTCCGGAAGGGTTGGCGGTGGTTATCACTACATGTTTGGCTCTTGGTACACGCAAGATGGCTCAGAAGAATGCGGTTGTCCGTTCACTTCCGTCGGTAGAGACACTGGGTAGCTGCAGTGTGATCTGCTCCGACAAAACCGGAACCTTGACCACCAACCAAATGAGCGCCGAGAAGATTGTTTACCTCAACGAGACTGGCCATGGCGTTGAGGAAATCGACGTCGAAGGTACGACTTTTGCTCCCGAAGGCAAAATCTCGCTCCAGGGCAAGGAATTGCAAAACGTTGCTGTCACTTCATCCACCATTCGGCAAATGACGGAGGTCATGGCTCGCTGCAACAGCGCAACCCTAGCTCATGATGCTAAGACTGGCGCATTCTCCTGTATCGGCGAGCCCACTGAAGGTGCTCTTCGCGTTCTGGTTGAAAAAATCGGCACCGAGGATTCTGCTATCAACGCTAAATTGCTTCCGCTCCCAGCTGCCCAAAGGCTCCATGTCGCCAGTGCTCATTACGAAGCTCGCTTGTCCCTCAAGGCAACGTATGAATTCTCCCGTGATCGGAAAAGTATGTCGGTTCTTGTCGATACCGGAAAGGAACAGAAGCTCCTGGTTAAGGGTGCACCGGAGTCCATCTTGGAGCGCTGCTCCCATGTACTTCTTGGTACTAACGGAAAGCGTGTTTCCCTGACCAAGGATCACCTCAATTGCCTCTCTGAAGAACTAATTGGATATGGAAACCGTGGTCTTCGTGTGATTGCACTAGCTAGCGTGGACACTGTTGGAAACAACCCTCTGTTGCACAATGCCAAATCCACGGACGATTACGCTCAATTGGAACAGAACATGACACTTATCGGCTTCGTTGCGATGCTGGACCCTCCTCGGGTGGAAGTCGCTGCCTCGATCAGAAAATGCAAGGAGGCTGGTATACGTGTCATCGTTATTACTGGTGACAATCGCAATACTGCGGAGTCCGTTTGTCGTCAAATTGGTGTTTTCAGTGAAGATGAGGATTTGAAGGGTAAAAGCTTTACCGGAAGAGAATTCGATAGCCTGTCGTACAACGAGAAGCTCGATGCTGTCAAGACCGCGTCTCTGTTCTCACGAACTGAGCCTAGCCACAAGTCCAAGCTCGTTGACCTCCTGCAATCCTTGGGCCACGTTGTCGCGATGACCGGAGATGGTGTCAATGACGCTCCCGCTCTGAAGAAATCGGACATTGGTGTCGCTATGGGCACAGGAACGGACGTTGCTAAGCTTGCCGCTGACATGGTGCTGGCTGATGACAACTTCGCGACCATTACCGTGGCTGTTGAAGAGGGTCGTTCGATCTATAGCAACACGCAGCAGTTCATCCGGTACCTCATCTCATCGAACATCGGTGAAGTCGTCTCTATCTTTCTGACTGCAGCCTTGGGCATGCCGGAGGCTTTGATCCCTGTGCAGCTTCTGTGGGTTAACTTGGTCACCGATGGGTTGCCGGCCACAGCCCTCTCGTTCAACCCTCCTGATCACGATGTCATGAGACGCGCCCCCCGAAAGCGTGATGAACCTCTGGTCGGCGGCTGGCTCCTTTTCAGGTACATGGTGATTGGTACCTACGTCGGTGCCGCTACTGTCTTCGGCTATGTCTGGTGGTTTGTGTACAACCCTGAGGGGCCTCAGATCTCATTTTGGCAATTGGTAAGATTCGCATCCTCGCCTCTCTCCCTCATCTACTTGACGGACCTTCTAACCTATTGTCACAGTCTCATTTCCACAAGTGCTCGTCTCAGTTCCCCGAGATTGGTTGTGAGATGTTCACCAACGATATGTCGCGATCTGCATCTACTGTGTCGCTCTCGATCCTCGTCGTGATTGAGATGCTCAACGCCATGAACGCCCTCTCCTCCAGCGAGTCACTCTTCACCTTCGGCCTGTCGAATAACCCGATGCTCGTCTATGCGATCATCCTCTCCATGTCGTTACACTTTGCGATCCTCTATGTTCCTTTCTTGCAGGGTCTGTTCTCTATCCTGCCCTTGGGCTGGAAGGAATGGCAGGCGGTCCTAGCTATCAGTGCTCCTGTTATGTAAGTGATTCCTCCGTTTCCCTCGGCATGCAATATCCTCTCTGACCAGTTTCAAGCTTCATCGACGAGGCTCTAAAGGTGATGGAGCGCCGCTTGTACAACAACATCCCCGCAGTCGCACCTGTGGAACTCAATGGCAAGCCTAAGAGGGCTTGAACGATTTGTTGATGAAGTGATGACTGAGATGTCGGTGATCGCCTTGATGATATATAGATTTCTTGTCCCTCCATATTCTATGTGTTTGTTGTTTTGCCGTTGGGCAGTTGATGGCATATACCTATACCTTTGGATGGTTGGGGGCGTATAGAGAAGGATGACGCGGATATCTACAGCGATGAGACTAGCGAAGTGAGTTCTGTTCCATGTATCATCATGTGGACACTGTGCCTAGACTTTTTCTCACCTGTTCACTTGCAATCGATTGTTCTCCTGCTTAGCTGAATACTTTTTTTTTTACCAACTGAGTCCGTTCTAGATAGATGAATGTGTCAGATGTATTATTTTCCACTGTGCAGTATGGAGCGGAGCGTATGGCTTGGAGACAAACAATGCAATCCCGTGACATGGATATATGGATGGTCTTCCTTCCTGTCCTCAACCCCCTCCTTTCTTCCTAGTGTCTGACTAGCCTTGATTCACCCCAATGAACACACCGCCATGATAGGTGATTAAATAGATTGATTTGAGACCACCCGGTTCATCATGAATTTCAGCCTAAATTTCAATTGCGGGGAAACCGGGGCCATCGTGACAATGCCCGCTGCAATCTTGTCCTCTCTCAACCCTGACCAACTGGAACATTCTCCCGGATGATTTGGCCTTGTCCTTCCAACCCCCTCCATTTCCTTATTTCCCCATTCTTGATTCTGTGGAGAGAGTCCGGGGAAATGGTGAGAAGGGACATGGGCTCAGAGAGATGCAATTCAAGACTATTGTCGGTGGAGAAGCCACATACATACCCCTCCTACCCTCCCTCGCTCTTTAGTGGCTTTGTCGTACAATCCCAATCACCTACTTATCCGCAAGAGACTGCTCTGTGCATGTCCTGTTTGCTTCTCTCCTCTCTTGTCGTCTTCCCCCTTTCTCAGGTAGACTGCTTTCTCCTTATCGCGCCCAAATGGGGATCATGCACTTCCTGAAGACTCGGACTGGGCTCCGGGTCGATAATTGCAAAACCACCTCTGCTGCCACCCTTACGTTGCGCCAGAGTATCTGGCCCTTGACTCTCGTCACCATACTCTTCTTTCTCTGGGTGAGCGTTCTAGAGCAAGAGATGAACATATGTAGTGGTAAGCGCTGACATACTTGCGCTGCAGGGATTCGCCTATGGCCTACTAGACACACTTAACAAGCATTTCCAGAACACCATGCACATCACTCGTACACGTTCTTCCGGACTCCAGGCAGCTTACTTTGGGTCAGCATTCTCTTTCACTATTATGCCTCTGTTAAGAAGAGGGCCCTCTGGTTAACAACTTCAAGTGCTTATCCACTGGCGTCCCTTGGTTATGCGAACTACATGCTCCGTCATTTCGGCTACAAGACTGTTTTCATCTTCGGGCTGACTCTATATGGGATCGGCGCTCTGTGCATGTGGCCCGCAGGCTTGCATCGTTCATTCGGAGGCTTCTGTGCAGCCACTTTCGTTATTGGCTCCGGCTTGGGTTCTCTGGAGACGGCTGCCAATCCATACATAACTGGTGAGTGGAATATATGTGGACCCCTTAAGCTCCATCCTTTCATGGTTTGAGCGAGGAATGAGGAATAATGACTAGAATGGGTTTCTAGTCTGTGGTCCACCCAGATACGCTGAAATGCGTATCAACCTTGCCCAGGCTTTCAACGGTATCGGAACCTGCGTGGCGCCAGTGCTAGCTTCATATGTCTTCTTCACCTCCGTGGGTGACGATGTCAATGCCCTCAAGCGCGTTCAGTGGGTCTATCTCGCCATTGGCATCTTTGTCTTCATCCTTGCGGGCATTTTCTTCATCTCTTCGATTCCCGAAGTGACCGATGAGGACATGGCCTTTCAGGTTGCCGAGACACACGCGGACGAACAGGAAAAGCCACTCCGGAAGCAATATAAGCTCTTCCATGCCACACTGGCACAATTTACTTATACAGGCGCACAAGGTATGAACCCATGCCTGCATACATATGCTTGCCTTATCTGGAGCTCCACCTAACCTTTTCCTTTGACATACATCAGTTGCTATCGCAAGCTATTTCATCAATTACGTTACCGAGACCTGGCCCGGAACATCTAGCGCCACAGCTTCCAAGTATCTTGCCGGTGCCCAGGGTGTCTTTGCGGTTGGCCGCTTCGCTGGTGCCATTATCATGAGATTTGCAAAAGCCCGTTGGGTGTTCTTAGTCTATCTCTCCTGCACTGTTGCTTTCATCGCTGCTTCGATAACGCAACATGGCCGGACAGGAGTCGGTACGTCCCACCTCGCCTCTCGTGTTCTATTCTTTTGTCCAAAAGCACGCATGCTTCGTACATAAGCCCCTTGTCTCTCGACCTCTCGTCCAGCATTTCCTCTGCCTCCTCTTTCTTCCTGCTCTTCCTCTCATACCCCGGCTCTGCCGCGGAGGATGCCGAGCTGACTAACAACAATGATATATTCACCAGCAATGCTCTTCTGCACCCTCTTCTTCGAATCCGTCTGCTTCCCAACGATCGTCGCGCTTGGTATATGCGGCTTGGGTAGGAACTACAAGCGGGCCTCCGGGCTCATTGTTGGCGCTGTCTGCGGCGGAGCAGTCGTACCCCCAATTCTCGGTCGAGTGGCGGACGCACGGAACACGGGCTTTGCTATGATCGTGCCGACCTTGTTTTTCGTTGTTGCATTGTCGTATGCCTGGGCAGTGAACCTCGTGCCTGCGTACCGCGAAACGGTGGACAAGGTGTACTCCAGTGGTGTTGGGCTTGGAGAGGAGAATGTTATGACTAAAGATGTGGAGGATGGGACCACAGCCAAGATTGGATAGTGAAAAGGATTGGAGCATTTTTATCCAGCAGTGGACGCATTTCGCTCATACCGTGATTTAGGGTCGGCATTTGTATGTTTGATCTACCTTTATATTTTCAATGCACGGGGGACCGTGATATATACTTAGTGCCTGTTACTGGAACTAAGCCCCACGCGGCTCCGTCATTATCCTGTAAACAAGGGTTGTGGAAACTGATAGACTGAACATCTTCCAAAAATTCCAGGCACAGTCAGGGACACATGCTCAGATCTCTGACAAAATATGTATGTAGGTGATTAGGTAGATATGTGGAGCAAGATATCACATTATAATACAAAAGAAACCGGCGCGAAGTGCGTGGCAAATATGACATAGGGCGTGTTTTGAGAATGCAAAGGCAACCCTTGAAGGTAATGGATAAAAAAAAACTGGAAAGAAGAATAGGAAATGAAGGTTTTAGCGTCCAAAAGTCCCCTTCCCAGGCTTGTTTATCATTGCGTTGCCATTTTGTCGAACAGTCACAGATTGAAAATTGTCCAAAAAGGAAAAGAAACACAGAAAATCAAAAACTGGCCCGCAGAGACGCGAAAAGGGGGTATAAATATGATGAAATATGCAAAGAGAACAGATAGAATTGAAACATGCCAAGATGAAATCTAGTATGTCCGGCTGCTGTTGCCTGAAGGCTTTGACAGCAGTCTCATTGAAAGTTTGCATCAGACACAGTGATCTCTATTCGGGAACCGTTGAGAACGGCGGCGTTGACAATGAGGACGAGCGAGGCGGGCGAGGACTAGCATCAAAGTCCGGGGCAGGGGCTAGAGCGGGCTTGCGAATTGGCTCAGGAAGCGATCCGTCCAAATGCTCAAGTCCAAGGTAATCATCCGGTTTTACCAGATCAACTGGTGATCCTGGATCATCCTCTAGGCCGCTGAAGGTATCCACCTCCTCGATATCTTCTTCTAGATCTTCTTCTTCTTCGATAATTTGACTCTTCCGTGCTGCAGGCCGAACCGCATTCGCAGCAACAGAACCCTCAGTACCATAATCCACTTGAGAATATTGCGAAGCAGGCACACCACCAGATACCATCAAGTTTGCAGTATGAATCATAGGGCCCTTGAACGCGGATCGTTTGCGGCGGGCAAATACAAGGCTTGAAGAAGGAGAATAAAGTAGTGGGGTCGGGGCTGCCTCGTTGAACACTGATTGGAGTCTCCCATTGTGATCGTCGATGTCCCGAATTCCAGTATGCGTACCTCGGACCAAACGAATATTGCTTGGGAAACGAGCAGAGGCGCTTGGTGTCGTGGGCAAGACTTTCACAGAAGAATGTGGTGATTTGGTGATTCGAGCGGTCGGTGTCGAAGTCGAACCAATGCTATTTGAGGATACGGATGAGGCCTTAGAGTGGGTATGGGTATGGTGAATGCTGCGGATAGACGAGACAGAGGAAGATGTCGACTTGCGTCCACGCAAGCCTGCAGACGACCGTCGATAAGAGCCCCTTGGAGTTATTGGGGAGGGCGACAGGGAATTTCGATGTGTTTGACCTGTACTAAGTGGTCGAGGTTGCCGAGGAAATGAGTGACGGTGGTTCGGATAGGAGGCACTGCTTGGAGCCAAGCTGCTAGCATTCGATGAGCGTTTCATTTGGGTCGGTGTCGATAAGTCACCTTGGTGTCCAATGGCGGCAGATGGCGATGTTGGCTTCTTTCCAGCCTCTTGTCCTTTTCCTGGGCTTAATCTTTCCGAAAGAAACTTGCGATGCCCACCTTGGGCACTCGTAGCCTTTGCGTGCGGTGACTTGGCCCTCTTTGCAGACTCCACAAACCAGTGCTTGAGAGAGGCCAGCTGACTTATGATCGGATACTGACGGCGACCAGTACGCCTTCTGAAAAGGCCGTTGTGTTGCGCCAGTTCCGGTTGCGAAGCGCTGGCGTGCAAGGTGCTCGGCCGCCGGGCTTGATCTTTGGGAGGCGGTACGGGACGAGGTCGAGTGGAACTAGCGGAGCGAACAGAGTCCTTGTCAATGGGCGGAGGGGGCACGCTAGAATCTGGAGACTGCACGGGAGCTGGCTCAGGAAGCATGGGTAGTTCTGGTACAGTGAGCTGGGATGGTAAGCTCCGCCTGTTCCTACGTCCACGTTCATGGAGAGGGCCATCAGATGATGCGTGCCCCTCCTCATCCACTTCAACTAAGGCTGCGGAAATCTTTTCCAACCGACTGCTCGCTGCGCTGAGCCGGCGAATGTTTTTGGCTTCAGCCTCACGTTCTCGGCGTTTACGCTCCCTCTTTCGTTCTTTGCGTTGCTCTTTTTCTATCAGCAATGCCCACCAGCCGGCGAGTGGGTCACATCGTTGAGAGAGGACGCTTTCCACAACATCATCGATGTTCAAACCCGCACTCTTCATGCGCTGCAATGTTGTCTTCTCGAGCGGGGTTGAAAATGGCGCCGGACGTGGGATCTTCAGAATCGCCAGCTGTTCCGAAGCAAACTCGGCGAGAAATGGATGTCCGAGAATTTCACCCAAGCCCGGCCTAATCAAAGGTCGCTTTGACAAGAGCAGATTGATGAGAGCTTTGGCATCCTCGGGAAATTTTTCATTGTACGCCGGCTCATCGTTGAGGATGCGAGCTTTGGTGACTTGATCATCATCGTCGTCGAACGGAAGTTCGCCTCCAAGTAAAGCGTATAATATGATTCCTAAGCTCCAAACATCCACTTTCTCGCCGGCATATTTCTCCCCCTTTAGCATTTCGGGAGCACTATAGCATATTGTGCCACAAAATGTCTGCAGGTAACTTGCCTTTCCCTCATATTCTCTTGTGAAACCGAAGTCACAAAGCTTGACATTTTCGTGCTTGTCAAGCAGGATATTCTCTAGTTTGAGATCGCGGTGTACACAGGACTTGCTGTGAACATACGCCACAGCCCCAACTAATTGTGTGAATATCTTTTTGACTTTCTCAACGGGAAGTGGGCCATGTTGAAGGAGATGATTGTACAGCTCATCACCTACCAGTGTCAAAAATCATAGATCGCAAACATTCCAGGCTAACCTACCTGGACAATATTCCAGCACTAGCCAAACCAGATTTTCTGTCACAATAACTTCGTAGAGGCGAGCGATATGGGGGTGAAGAAACTGACGATGGTGATGGATCTCGCGCGCCAGGTTCCTGTCCTCCTTACTCGAAGACTTGAGTACGACCTGAATATAACATGCCTTAATACATGCTTCGGATTGCCTGCATAGTCGAGGAGACCTACCTTAGAACCATTGGTCAACTTATGAGAGGCAAGGTAGACCTTGCCGAAGGAGCCTTTTCCTATTAACCGCCCAAGTGTATAATTGCCTACAGTACGGAGGTCTTTCGAGGAGAATTCCCTACGATCATCAAGTCTGGTCAGCAAGGTTGTCGGGGTTCTGACAAGGTAGGCACTCACTCTAATAATTCATTATATGACTGGGCAAGCTGTCAAGTCGCATGGAGTTTCCATTAGTACCAGGCACAGATCATGTCGGAGATAAAAAAAAAGGGGGGGGGTCCCAATGAGAAGTATGTATTGATAGCAGCTCTCCCCACGCAGAGGCGTTGTCATCAATAACGGTATGTTGGGCAGGCACGCCAAGTAGCGACTCTACATACCTTTTCCTTTTGTTTCTGGGCTTGGACCTCCGCTCTTGTCCTAGGGGGTGGCATGTGTTTCAAGCGTTTATCTCCGCCTGGCCGGGAAATGTCCGGTGAGCTGAGAAGTTTGGAGAATTGTATCGATCGGCTGCCTGAGAGACTAGACCACCGGGAAACCCATCCAGCAGGCTATGTATCGAGAGAAGGTTGCAAGGTTGAACTAAGGTTCGACAATGAGGACGGAGTTTGAGCGGCAGGCGAGGGGAATCGGAACTCGCGGCCGCCACGGGAAGAAGTATGGAGGAAAGCTAGTCGAGACAGAACGTTCAGAGCAGTCGGTAGGGGGAGAGATTATTCGAAGTTGAAGCAGAGGATACGACGAGAATTGAAGCTTGGTTCAATTATAGTTGATGTGGTAAAACTCGAGGCGTCGGGGTAAAAAGAAAAGAAAGTAAATTGGATCAATATCCGCAGGAGCCGAAAGCTGATCGGGCTCGGAGACTAAAAAGGATGACGGAATGGGGCTAGACAGAAAAGACAAGAAGTCAGCGAAGCTGTGCCTAACCCGACAATGTATGCGGATTTGACCAGGGCAACAACCAAAGAGAGAATTACTGACGAACAGCAGGAAGGATGGGCCACGGGGGGAATGACTTAGTAGAGGGCCTATTATGTCAGGCAAACACATACCAGACAAAATAGGCACTTGCCAGTAGTACAAGTAGTCGGCGTGGGACTCGGGGAAGAAGGGGGGTGGGGGAAGACGACTGCAAGGTCGAAAGGGGAGAGAGAGCAAGAGTACTATGTGAAGATAGTTTGAAATGCACCGAGTCCCAAATGAATAGTGAAGTTCAGTCTACCATTGAGGAGATGGGGGGGGGGGGAAAAAGGAGGGACAATATACTCAAATTTAATGAGGTGAAGGAAAGAATCAAGAAGAATAGTGGGTTGAGGCGGGCTTTTTTTTTTCTGGGCTTGCAATGATGAGGGGAAAGAGACGAAGAAGGAAAGAGGGAGAGAGACGAAGAAGGAGCGAGGCACTGACGACAGCAGGCAGGCAGGGGGAGTGAGGGTATAACTATGTGCATAACTGATGATTAAGAAGCTACGTAGCTAAATAAGTTAACTACCCAAGTTAGTTAATTAAAGTAGTTGACTTACCTTACCTAGTAGTCTACTACATCAGTCAATACGTAACTCGACTCGACTACTTTGCTCCTACACAATATTCAAACTACAGGCAAGATTTTCAATCGATTGATCTGAGTAACTCAATATATACCTAAGAATAAAGAGTCGGAGTTATATGCCTACTGCTCACTACTCTGTTCTTATCCTGCTCAACAACAACTCACTTGAGTGTTCATCTATTTAGTAATACTTCTCCATTCTTAGCCGTCCGCCACAATTTAGCCGGGTGGGAACGTGGACTACTAAGTAAGTTACTGGTGCCATGGCATTTATCATCATTATGCAATGACCTCAACGTGTAAGCCAATATGTATCTGAAAGTAAACCTTGACTTGTCTTTGCTCAGCCCAGCTCCGTCCTTCCTGCTCCCAAAAGACTCCTTCCGCCCCGTGTCTGACCTGGGTAGCACCTGGGGTAGGGACATACAATACTGTACATGTACTGTACAGTAAGTTAGAGAGCCCGACTCGACTCGACCCGACTCGAATGACTTAGTATCTACTAGGTATACGGAGTACGGAGTACCTAGTATAAGTTACTAGGCACATAAGTGGTAGTTATAGCCTAGGTTGCGCAGCGAGTCAGACCTCATTCCAACCCCTGAAGCCAAACCGTTTTCAACTCATCATCTCATCATCCATGATTCGTAACGGCTAGTCTACCCGGCAGTCATTCCTTGTAAGTTTAATTTCCCTCTCTTGGGCTCGAATTCACTACCTACGTCCGTACCATTCAGTTGATTTAGCCAGTAATTACTCCAAACTACTACACTATGGTTCACATCCACACTGCGAAAACCCCCTAAACTGAACAACCTCAACAATCACCCTCCCCACCCCCCCACCCCCTTCGCTCCCCTGCCCTGACCAAAATCAATTTGAAACTGCTAAATGCTTCCCACCTAATTCGCCACATACACCATTGTCGCCAATGGTTTTCACGTCACACCATCATTGTCTTTTGCGGCACTGAGTTTATGACAGTTGCATCTTCCGAGTCACATACTCGGTCGTCAAGACCGCCAGCGAACATCGAAATCTGGAGCAACTAATGAACGTGCTGGAGCTAGGGCACGGTGTCTCGTCTGTTGATTTATATACCAATCGTGGGTAGTGAAACTGGCCGACGATCAGGGGCACTGTTCCTCAGCACCCCGTTATCTTGTCCGTTAGTCTAGTATCTACTGGTTCAAATATTCTCTTGCCACCAGGGAAGAGAGTGCAGGTGGTCCACTGCCCGTTGGCTGATACACAGCGCTGGATCAACATCGTCCAGCCCTTCTTCGCCTTGAAACGCAAGGGCCACCAGGCCAAAGTAGGAGTGTAGAAGATCTGCAGGGCGATAACGAGTGAGTGGGAAAAGCCGATTAAGGAACTTTGGACAGAGCAAACTCACCAGGTGGTTCCCCAACGCCTTTCCCAAATCCCCCAATGATGTGCTGCGTCTTGTCCAAGAGATATTGGCGGTTCCGATCCGCGTCGACCAGCGCTAGCCGGTCCATCATCTGCGCGCAATAATCAAATCAGATAACGCCCATGGAGTATCAAGACACAGGGTTTCTCACAACCAGAGTCGCCAGATTCCAGAAAGAATAACATGTGTCGGCGTTCTTGTTGCATCGGCCATTAAAGCCAGCCCATCGCAATGACTCCTCTGTTGGCGGTAAAAGGGCAGGGAGTTCATCCACCTCTGTTTCAGGGCTGACAACCTGGCCTGCCGCTACTGGTAATGGTTTCTGACCTTCACCAGTCTCACACTTTTCGTCGTCCTCATCAGACTCTTCCTCTATTTCACCAAGCTCGGCCGTCTGTCGGGAGATCAACCAACGGACCAAGGACTCGAACTCCATCGCACCAGGTGAGAGTACTGCTGGCAGGGGATGATTCCTCTCCATTCGACTTAGAAAGGACAAAGCGCCCATCGCGCAATAGGTATGGCCGGCTACAACCCGATCAGTCGGGTGGTCAATATCAAGGAGTTATGAAGAGATTCAAACGTACAGTGTGCTTCGCAAAACGGCGCTTCTCCCATGCCGCCGTCATAAGCCTGAAAGTACCATGTAGTTAGCAAGCGCATGAAATAGTGGTAAGGTATGTGTGGACTGTGCGGGTAGAGGATCACAAATGTATGTCGGAGCCCTAACCTGACAAGCCTGAACGAAGGCTGCCATCTTGGATACATCGATATCACTCAGCCCCTGTATGTCTGCGCCACCAAGTCCCCTTAGGATATACCTCGTCCCTGCCGCGCAGCAGCAGAAACGCAAGTCTCCACCTCCCTCTATCTTGCCTCCAGGCCCTAACACTTCGCCGAAACTGCCGTTCTCGCGCTGCAGCCGAGGGAGCCATTGCAGACATTCTATGCGCTTCACTCGTGATAGATCATCGCCTAGGATAACCAAGATGACAAGCGCAAAGAACGTGGACGGCACATTGGCTGGATCCCAAGCTTCATTCACTGGAGATCGAGATTCCACCCCAAAGTCTGTCCCAGTGAAACCTCGAAAGCCCCCTGTAGGCACCTGGCAGTGATAGATCCAGTCGATATACCCTTGTCGCTCTTCGGAGGTGGTCTTGTCTTGGAGTACGCCTAAAAGGTCGAGGCCGGCAACAGTGAAGAAGGCGAGAAGCATGCGATTGGAGTCATTGGATGTGTAGGGTTCTGGAAGAAACGTCTTGAGGCATCGGAGGAAGTACTTGATGTGACGTTCCCTGTTGAAAGTGATCTCATTCATGTTGTCAGTCTTGGTCGGTCCACGAACCTTCCTGGGTTCGGGTGCGGGGAGTTCGGTCGAAGGAACCTCGGAGGTGGACATTCAGAACCTGCAGTAGCTCGAGGGTAAGAATAGAGGTAGAACAACAGACGGTATTCAAAGACAACTCAAAGGTCTCTTTCCATCGACTCGATGATCTCGCAGACGCACGGCTGACCCCATAACGAACTGCTTTCTTCCTCGACTGATCCGTCGGCGAGCGGAACTTCGATCCAGGGCGGCCCCACATCCGGCGGACGAATTCCCCGTGCTCCTGTCGACGAAACATACAGCTACGTGTGTACAATACAGCAATCACACACCCCAATATGTCAGGAGGTAATCCACTCCATCGTTCACGCCACTGACAACCTCTATCACACTCACTTGAATGTGCTCCCGATCACAATAGCCTGCCATGGGCTTCATATCCTCCAAAATCCTCATACAGGCTCATGCCTTTTTGCTAGTCTTTCTAGCCGTTCATTTGATGAGGTCACCAGCAGTCATCACCGACTCCGACGTCGTATTCATGCTAGGAGAGCTCCTGCAATTGGTAGTTACATCATTTCCCCTACAAGCCCCCCGACTCTGAAGAACATGTAGTTGCTAATGGATTCTCTTTACCTCTGCTGGCTAGGATGCATCTCCATCGTTCTCCCGTCCTCAATCCCCCTTTGCCCTGTGCGGAATCCTTCTGATCGTCGACGCCCTGGTCGACTACATCCTTGTTTCCAAGATTCCGCAGACCAATGAGGTCCTTGCAATGGCTGAGGCAGCACGGTCTCAGGCTCCGGGCTCTGTGGCAGGGGCTATGCGCGCGAACCCCTTCATGGCTCGGCTCGGCTCGCTCTACTCAGAAGTCTGGACGTTCCTTTCCGCCACACGCTTTTGTGTCTTCTTCGCCGTCTCATTTTTTGTCTACCAAAGTCAGCCGTCTGCGAGCGGTATCATGGAGGACTCAGGGGCAGCGTCTGCATTGACACAGCTGAAGAACCGGGCAATTTTCACATTCGGGTTTATGGAGATGATGTTCTGGCTCTGGGTGGGTTTTCCCCTCCCATTCTCTATCTTTCCTTCTCCTCCTGCGGAAATAAGTGCTGGCTTTGAGGGCGTCTTCCCTGTGATTTGTACGAGACTTGCACTGCACGTATGAGACTGATAAATCGTGCTAGATATTCGTTACTATCCGGGAGGAGAAACAAGCAGTGGCTTCACGATTTGTAGAGCGTGATCAATAGCTTCTCTATCTATGGCACATACAAGGCAATGCTAAGAATGTAAGTGCCTCGTGGCAGAAAAACATGCTCGAGTTCGCACCCCACATATCACAATGGTTGATGGCCTCCTTCGGGCTGCGCCAAACGGATTCAGTTCTCAGAGCCTTGAAAGTCCAGCGTGAGACTAGGGCTTGGAGCAGATATCACATCGAGAAGATGGCGGCGGGGGACCATGACAAAGTCATCCCGCCAAGCCTTCATCCGAAATTGTTATGTCAATGTACGTACATTATCCCTAAGCAAGAAATGCAACGAGAGCCATGCCGACGGCCGCAAAGATACTAGCGTCAGCATACGGCGAGAGCGGGACACCGCCACCCGTGGCAGTAGGGCTACTTCCAGTGTTTGTCTTAACGGAGGTCACTGGCTGGGTGTTTCCTGATGTAGACTGGGTCTTCGTGCCTGTGAGGGTGGTAGTGGCAGAAGCAGTGCTGTTACCGGAGGAATTGACGGGAGAAGTGGTGGTAGAGGCGCTGGTGGCATTAGTCGAAGTGACCGAGTTGGCACAGCTCGCACTGCTAGGCAGATCTGTCACACCAGCACCGCTGCAAAGCTGTACTGCGAACCCGAGAGCAGCTGGGAGGGTGTCAAGGTTCGTTAGCGAGTGATTTATCATCCGGTGTGATATTCCGAGAGTATGTGAATCCCACGTATCAGAGGGGAAAGAAGTGCAATGTACCTTTTTCGTCCTGAGGTGAGCAGGATTTGGCAACGCAGCAGGACATATCGCTGATGAAAGATTTGGTGCCGCAGATACAGGCAACGTCAATAGACTGACAGGTCTTGGGGATAGCGCCAGTAGCACACTCTCTCTTGACTCGGTACATAACGTTAGTGGGCGGTATAACAGCAGCCAACATGAAACCGAATGTCACGACGGCTCTGAACGATCTTGCACTTACAGCACATGCTGGGAGACTGTCCATGCCTTGAGCCACGACCGAGATCAGGCCGGCGAGGAATGTGATAGCTATGTAGTAGAGCCTCATTTCTGAATCGCAAGTGCGTAATGCTGACGATGCGGGGGTTAGCTTCCAGAAGGGATATCAGAAGAAGGTCGCAGGCCGAAGAGATAAAGGCTCGATTGAGGAGAAGAAAGGGGATGAAGAGGGAGCCAGGATTCCAGGAACACCAGAAGAAGCGAAGGAAGAAAAGCTACAAAGGGCCGCGGGCGCTCATGCTCCTTACTTCTGAAACCTGTGAATAACTAGGCTTTGTAATATTGCTAATAAGTAACCACAAATTTCAGGACAGAGTTTAATTATACCACTGTTATACTACTGCTATCCTCTCTACACCAGATTTGTTACACTGTCTAATTAACATTATCATCACAAGAGGAGGAAATGACTCGACAATGTGCCTTTGGACACCACATTGAAAGCCGTTTTCTATACGATTTCAAGTGTAAGCAGTAAGCCCATCTGTAGCAGGGACTCTGTCATATCCAAGGCTGAACATCTATAAGCAGTGCTTGACATCTGTATCCATGGAAGTTGCTCTGGTATGTATGAATAACTAACCATTATTTCTGCTAATACTAACTAATAAGTTACTAAGTTAATACTAGTGCTAGTAGTACTACAACTACCACCACTATCCCACCTTATATACGGAGCTTTTTGACTACCTAGTACTGTACTGGCAATATACACTTCAAGGTTGCAGTAGAGTACAGTGAATAGGGGAGGTAGTACGCACCAGTCACCTTGGTTGGACAAAGTGTGTGCCTGGTTCCACTCAGCCCGCGCTAATCTTTAGAGCTCCAATCTTAAAATTTCCCCCACACCTCCGCGTTCCCCGTGTGTCCCGCAGTCGAGTTACATTAGTACAGTACATACATACAGCTAGTGAGGGACCAACCACTTACTGGAAGGCAAGGGGTTTATAGGGAGCGCAGGAGGTTTCCCCAAGAGAAACCAATTGCTGTAGATGGTTCTTACCAGCAACACACACCTATCTGTCCTTGAAACCGGAATATTACGCGCAGTGTACTTACTGTAATTGGTGTACTGTACTGTACATTATAATGATACTACGTTCCTTGAGATCAGACCAAATGCATGTGAAGTTAGCAAAAGATTAAACTTCCTATGATTGACACCGGGGCATAGCTGCGGTAGAAGAATGTTGGGAACTGCAATGGCATTTTTGTCACCAGCAAACAGCAATATTACAAACTGTAGAACTGTCACTGGCCCTCTTTCTGTTCTTCGGCTGGATCAGTTTCCCACCATCTCACAGACCATTGATCTCAGCTTCTGCTGACCTGTTAACCAGTGGATCCCTTGCAAGGCGCATGGTGTTCAAGGGACCTTCCTCTCATGCCTCGTCCCTCATAGAGACAAAATGACGAGTGACAGTACACGGAGATACCATTTCTACACCTAAAGACTTACATTCACTTGTCACCATCCCACGTCCCACCTTGACAGAGTCGACAACCATATTTTAGGCTGCTAGTCACTGCATATCTCTCTCTGGGAATATCCATCTGGCTTCAGAAACCATTGAACAGGTCAACCCTTTTCAGTCACAATGGGACTAGGAGTGTTAGATACAACGGATGTGCATGTGCATGTGCCAGGTAGGAAACTACGCTTGTTGCATTGATGACATAGATGAGACTGAAGGACTTCGAGCAGGAACATCAGACATCCTTCAAACGCAGTGCTCCTATGATGGTCAACTACCTGATCCTAGACTGAAGTATGACCGCACATCTTCGATACCTATACTTCTTGTTCCACAACCCAGCGATGATCCCAATGATCCATTGGTGCGTATAAGCAGAAAGAAGAAAAATTTCAAGATCGAGGTGGCATCGACTAATACAACATGGCATAGAATTGGCCACTGTGGAAGCGCGATTGCATTCTGTTCGCTCTCTGCTTTGTCTCCGTCCTGTGCGCAACAACAAGTTCACTAATGGCGGCCAATACTGTAACCATTGCCCTATACTTTGGAAAGAATTTTACATCGGTCGCCCTTCTTACAGGATACCATCTTTGCGGTGTGGGGGTTGCAGGAATCCTCATCGTGCCTACCGCACGCGTCTGGGGCAAGCGCCATCTGTTTCTATTGGGAAATATTCTAATGGCGGCGAGCTGTGCCTGGGCAGGGGCCAGTAAGCATAATTACCAGAGCCTTCTCTGGGCGCGGATCTTTCAAGGTGTTGCGCTGGCACCCTTCGAAGCTTTGGTCAATGCCTGTGTCGGGGACCTATTCCACGTTCATGTGAGTTTCTCCTCATTGTTGTTATGTCTGATAGATGTCGAGTCCGGCGCTCATGAGATGAAATTTTAGGAGCGGGGCAAGAGGATGGCACTGTCCAACGTCGCCTTGTTCGGGGCTGCTTTCCTCACACCTGTCCTAGCTGGCAAAATCACCCATAGTCTGGGCTGGGAGTGGACATTCTATCTGGTGTCGATTTTCACGGCGGCAGCACTTCCTCTTACCTTCTTTTGCGTCCCTGAAACTGCATTTCGGCGCCCGAGCGAGCTGGGCATGGAAACAGTCTATGTACATGGCCGCCGCTCGGATACTGTTGAAAGCCCGCTACCACAAGTCGATCCTGCCGGCGATGATGCTATCCAAGTACGTCGCGAGGTAGGCGGACCAGTGCAACATGCACATTCGACCACAGGAAGACATAGAAGAGGTTCCACGTCCAAAGAAATACCTCGAGATGTTTCAGCTGAGACTGAGCCCCTCGCCAAGGTTTCCTATCTGCAGACTCTCAAACCCTTCAATGGCCGGAAAACAGACGAAAGCTTCTACAAGCTTCTTCTGCGTCCATTTCCCCTATTTTTCCACCCAGCCATTCTCTGGGTAAGCCGTGGCCTGCAAGAAACGAGATCATATTAGCAGCTTCCTGACGTCCAAGATTTTATAGGCATGTCTGATCCAGGGCGTCATTATCGGATGGACTGTCTTCATTGGCGTGGTCCTGGCGGCCATCTTCCTCGGTCCTCCACTGTGGTTTAACGAAGTGCAGACGGGTTATCTCTACACTGGTGCATTCATTGGATCCATTCTGGGCCTGGTGATCTCGGGTCTATTGTCCGATTGGATGAACCAGGTTATGATCAAAATCAACCGAGGACGATACGAACCCGAGTTCCGGATCCTTCTGGTCATCTTCCAGCTGATATTCAGCGGGGCCGGGCTGTTTGGCTTCGGCCTCGTTGCTGAGGATATTGCAAGCTACGGCTGGCTCGTAGCGGACGCCTTTTTCGCGTTAGTCATCATCGGGATGGTGATGGGCGCGGTGTCCAGCGCCCTGTACATTGTGGATGCACATCGTGAGTGAAGCTATTCACCGGTGGTCTGAGCCAACTCATAACGAATAATAACAGGAAACATTGCCATTGAATCGTTCACCTGCATGTTGGTGTTCAAGAACTTGTTCAGTTTTGTGCTGACTTTTTTCGCCTACGATTGGTTATTAACAAATGGGATCCGGCCAGCGTTCTTGGCGATTGGCAGCATTCAAATGGCTATTTGTGCTCTCAGTGTTCCTATGTGTAGGTTGCCTTGTCTGCTACCAATGATGTTGAGATCGAGCCGCTCTGCTGACTGGAAGGTAGATTTGTTTGGCAAGTGGAACCGCTCTTTCTTTCACCAACACGATATACTGAAGATCTTGCATCTGTGGTAGTCTCATGAAACGGCGCGACTTCCCTCGGGACGGACACGGTACAGGTCTTGTCATTCTCAACTCATAATAGCACATTAGGAGACAAATTGCCTCCAACAATTAGACCAGCAGGAAAAACCTGACACTCCGAAGACAGCGCCAGCGCCAGACAGAAAGAAAGCATGTAATTGCTCAATGTGCAGTCGATCACAACGCCCGTCCATAAAAAAAATCCAAAATTGCAAATACGATAAGTCGGTCGTGAAAATCATAAATGTCGTTGGCATCCAAAATCAGGTGCTTCTTCCATGCGCCTTGGCTGAACAAAAATCAATAATTCGATGCAAAAACTGTGTCTGACGCGATGACCGCGATGGTCGCAACCTGTAGCACCAAATCACCATCAGTTTGTTCTGCGCGTGCTCAGCCAGTTGGGAGCAAGCTAACGTACCAAAGCCAAATCCACCCCGGGAGTCACAATGACATCCAACACAGGCCTGTAGCCTACGCGCGAGGCTGGCATCAAGGCCAGCTTTTCGTTATGGCGGATACTTTCCCTCACTTCCGCGATCTTACGATCCCCATCAACGATGTCGAACAGCGCGAGGACATTCCCATGCCGCTGTACCTCTAGGGTCAGTACCCGTTCCTCAGGCTGTTTGCCGTCAACGGCGGCGACGTTATCAAAGGTGATGGTGAAGTTTCCCCCGCGCGTGGTCGAGCCAAAGGAGGCGGCCGATCGGCGACTTGCCCGACGCCGCGAACCCGTAGCCAGTGGAGAGTAGGTTTTATCCTTGAGGGACGAGCCCGGGAGCGTGACGGACCAATTGTTGCGGAAAGAGAGACGTCGGTGCAGCTCAAACAGCGGAAGCCCCGAGGCATCGCGGAATTCGCGGCAAGGACGGTGCGAGAACTTGCGGCCGGTGGCGGTGAAGAGGGTGATTCCATCAAGGTCTTCGATCTTGTACGCCACGGCAGATTGGGCATCGCCTTGGGGGCGCACGACGAGAGTGGTCTTAGTATCGGTGATTTGATCTGCACGAATCGCAATGGGCCGGCCAGGGGCTTTTAGTACTCTACGTATTTGGAGGCTTGAGCTCGAAGATGAAGAAGAAGAGGAAGAGGAAGCCGAGGAGAGAAGTGAGAACAACGGGAGCAAGGCCTGTTGTTGATGTTGTTGTCGGCGGCGGTGAGAGAGAAACCAGAACATGGTGTGGAGCGGAGGAGGAGGAGGAGGAGGAGGAGGATGGGGAAGAGAGAACTGGTAGCAGTAAAGCCCGGGGTGTTTTTTTTTGATCTTCGGTTATTACTACTACTAGTAAATATAGGAGGAGGAGGAAGAGGAAGAGGAAGAGGAAGAGGCTGAGGAAGCAACTGAAGGGAAGAAGAAGGCAGGAGGGGCTTAGCGAATGACTGCTCTGGGTGTAAGAGTGTGAGAATGCAAGTGTGCGGGGGGGAGGGAGAGGGAGGGAGAGAGAGAATAAAAGATTAATCGACAATCCTAATGAGTGAGAGGGGGTGGATACGAGAAACAAGGTGAAATTTATAAATTTGCTTGGTCTAGCTAGATGGGGATAGTCTAGCAACAAACTAAAGAAAGAAGTGGCCTTATCATTTACATTAACAACAAGAACAATAAGGATAACAGGGCTTGGAAAGAGCATGATGCCATGCCATTGCGGGCTGGGATGGCCTTAACTTGTCTAAATTAATCCCGCTATAGCCCCATCCCGAGGCTGAGCAGGGAGGAAGAAAGAGAGAGGTAGGTAGACTAGGAATGAAAATCAGATTTACCAAAAGAAGAGGAAAAGAGTAAGAAAATGAATTTTAACACCTCTACTTTCTTTTTATTTTCTTTTTGTTCCTTTTTGTTCCTTTTTTTTTATTTTTTATTTTTTATTTTTTCTGCGCGCCCTGTCTTGCTTCAGAAATCAGGCACCAGGTGAATTACATCCACGTACTGGAGAGAACTTGTCAATTATAGTTAGTACCAAGTTAGTCGATCTGAGAAGTCAACTGGTAAGGCTGAAGGAGCTGCAGGAGGAAGGGAACTTGGGAAGAACTGACACATACTCTCCGTGTCGGTAACTACCTTACATGCAAACGGACACTGTAGCTGTAAGCTGTAAGCTGTCGCTGTCGCTGTAGGTGTGTAACACTCTTCATGATGACATCAGCTCCGGGAAAGCTGATGTCACTTTTTCTTCTCTCCTGGTCCTTCTAGTTACCCTCTTACCCTCTTACACTCTCTTCTCCATATCCACGGATGGGCCCGGCGCATACGTTCCATACTTTCTGAAGACTGATTGATGCTGGGTTACAGTCGATCCTCCATGATCATCGTCATTACCCATAATGTTCTTCCCCCTCCTTCCGAAAGAGCTTCCCTTCTTCTCTTACTCACACACTCTTCTTTTTTTCTTTTCTAAAACTTTATTCTTCTCTTCCCCTCTATCTTTCTCCTTCAAAACTCTCTCCCTCTCTCCCTCTCTCCCTCTCTCCCTCTTCCTTTTTTTCCTGGCGATAATTCTCACCAAGTAATGTCTTGTTCGGCTTCCCCACGACGGTCGTTATCTTATCATGGCCACTGTTGAACGACCTACTTCTACCACTACCACCACGCTACCGCGTTCCCGCTCCGTGCGTCTGGCGGGTCAAGGTAAGATCGGCGCACCCGATCGCCCTGCTTAATGTTCCTCTTGCATCCGATTATCATGCCCCAGCATTTCGTAATAATAATAGTTATAACTATTGTGGTAATGAAACAACTAATTCCTTCCCAGCTGCCACGGCTGCCCTGTATGTGACCCATCCGGAGCGCAGACTATCGGTGCGTGAGCCTTCCACCGCTGAAACAGAACGCTTGAGTGAGTAACTCTGATCTTGCGAATTGATCGTATCTTCCTCACTAACACATACACCTCACTACCTTAGCCTTGAAAGCGACTGGTTCTCGCCCTGGCTTCAGCCATGCGTCAGCTGTCGCCGCCCTCGCCCATGCCAGAAAGGAAGCGGCCGCGATCCCGGTCGTTGAGCATCAGCGAACCTCGGATTCTCCGAGCCGGGAAGGTTATAAGGCAGCCGCCTACGTCTTTGGGAACCGTCGTTCACCCTCGACGCGCTCTCCCACTTCCTTTGATCTGAAGCAAGACCTGGTCGCAGCAGATTCAACCGCTGGGCGTGTTTTAGATGATCGAGAGAAGGCCCTTCGTGCCGCCACCGGTGCGTTGAGCGGCAGCCGGAGGCGAGCCGACTCGGCACCTTTGGATGCCCCCCACGCAGGAATGAGTACCGATGAGGCCCTTGGAGATCTTGACAGCTCCATGGAGGCAAGCCGGATCCAACATATCGCTAACACGAATGCTCGTCTCTACACTGCATCCCCGCCGGTCTCTCCAGAGCGGGAGGAACACAAGCGGAGAAGTGTTATGCAAGCTGCTGCTCTGTCCATGGCCCGGGAGATGTATGCCGCGGTAGAGGCCAAGGAGCAAGGTCAGGTAGGCCATGCTCGAACAAGATCACAGCGTTCACCCACTGGCGCGGAGCCCATAGTTCTCCAACAGGCCTTCAGTCTGCAAGATGCCGCCGAAAAACGCGCGGCTGAAAAGCTCGCCAGCATGCAGGATGAGACAGCCATCTACCGGGAATATTATGGTCTTGAGCCTCAGCCCACTCGGTCCAGCTTGCAACCCCGCAGACGCAGAGCCTCAATTGACACGGATGTCTCCAGTGGGGATGCTGATCGAACATTGGAGATCCGGCACCAAATGTCCAGTCTTCGATCAAAGCTCAATGCCGTAGACGAAAGAAGGGAACAGGACCGTGCACTCTTGATGGAAGCGGCAAGGAAGAACGTCGATGCCACTATTCAAAACATGGAGATGAGGGTCTATGCGGAAACCGGTCGCGCACCCCCGTCCATGCAGAAGGAGATCGAAGAGGCTGCATTGGCACGTGCCATGCTAGAAAGGCAGGAGAGGCAGGAAGCAGACTCGCAGTATCAAGGGGTTGACCGAGTGAATATCAGTTCCAAACGCTTTGTGGACATGTCCGATGTGGAAGCGCTGGCTCGATCTCGGCTACAGCCCACTTTCGACGAAATCACCGACCGAGCCGAAAATCAACGCGCAAGAGAGCTGGAGCAAAGACTGGACCAGGAAGAAGCCCAGCGTCGAGAAGCCATGTACCGCGAACGCGAAGCAGAGACCAAAGCTGAAGAGAAACGTCTGAGAGGTAAGTATTTGTCTGAAAGGAGTGTCGCACCGTTACAAGGTCCCTAACTCGCTATAGATTCTCTGAGACTTGAGAACAGGTCTAAAGATGAAAAGAGCTGGCTATGGAAAAGAAAATCGAAGCGCTTCTCCGACCATGAGCAAGATATTGCTGCTAGCACTTCAGGAGGAGTGGTCGATGAAGCAGCCACTGAATCTGCACCACAAACAATCGCCAATGATGATGTCAATGCAACTGCTGCTGGTGCGGTAGCCGAGCCCACTTCTAGCGAGCCTATAACCAAACCAGAATCTAAATTCAGGTCGTGGTTCAAAGGTCGCATGGGGCGTCGCACAAGCTCGAACCAGGCTGAAAGCCCTAGAGAGTCGAAAGAAGCCAAAGTAGGCACTGACGTGCCACAAACAGCAAATGTCGCAGGACAATCAGGACTCGAAGAAACAGCTGGGCCATCGGGCGCAAGAAAGACTAAAGAAATCAAGGCTTCGAGCACATCCGAGGCACCGCAAACTACTGAAGGTGGTCAAGGAAGAGCATGGGACATTGCTCATCCAGAGGGTATATCTCCTGAGATGCCAGAGCTTCCGGCCACGGTTGAAGCACCCAAAGAAGGGGTTTTGGACGAGGAACCACAAAAAGCGGCGCTTCAGTCCCATCCCATGACGGCAATATCCATCGATGATGGCAGTGCAGAGCAACCTAGTCGTATCGATGAGGATGCAGTCCAACAAGCTTCTAATGCCAAAGACGTGCCGGATGATGAGACCAGTCGTAACCGATTGATGTCTGGCTTCAAGAAAATGGTCTCGAGGAGCTCAACCGAGGCGAAGACTGGTGGGGCTGTCAAGCATGACGTCGCCCGAAGAAGCTCGGAGGCAATCCCAAAGCATACAGTGGAGGGAGCAGACCGACGGGCAAGTGTGCCTGAACATGGCCAAGTTCTACCCTCATCGGCTGGGAATCGAACCAGCGATGGCACGGGCCGAGAATCGCGCTTTTCCGAGAAATTGTAGAATGAAGCTGGGTGCCTGCCGCTCTGTGGGCGTTTTGTCTGGTTCCGATACCTTCATCTGAGAGGACCACAACTCAATCTTGTAGTCAATCTCTATTAGTTAGTTCTGTCACTAATCCTGTTTTATGGTTCATGGTTCATGGTTCACGGTTATTGTTTATGGGGGATTTTTTTTTCTTTCTTTTTCGTCGTGTCCGTTTTCTTCAGGTTTTTATAAGGGGTTGGGGAGGCGCGGTTTCTGCTTTTCGTCCAAAAGGGTACAAGGATCCTGGGTACAGTACAATCAATCTAATGCCAGATAAGCCCGGAGGACTATAAGTCGATAAGTGATATTTTATAGTTGTATGTAATGTAGTAATTAGTGTTCGTGTCTAATGATCATAAAGAAGAGCGTGAGGCTGAGACTAGGCCTAAAGAGCAACTGGTCGGTTTCACATTCCCCCGATCCACTCCCGCTCCCATCCATCCATCTCTCCTTCACGTTTCCCCATCCCCTCATCCCCTGGCATGCTCGGCATGGTTGCATGCATTATCGTATATGGTTTAGATTAGTCTCCACGGCCACAGACATATACTTCCGAATCCTGATCAACAATCTTCCCCTCTAAGCGATGGTCATAGCCCACCTCCGCCAGTCGAGTATTGACCTCGACTCGGCCGATCGACCATTTGACAATATCATCAACTTTCGGGATGTTGGCCGAACCGTCAACGAGGTGCTCGGTCGACGGTATGTACAGCACAACGACGCCTACAACGCATTGCTAACAACGCCTGCACAGGGTAATCAAAGAGGGTCTTCTCTTCCGAAGTGCCAGGGTACAGTACCCATCCCTGTCTATCATTCCAGATTTCACTCCCGCCAGAGTACTGTATGATCCAGCTACTCGATCCAAGGAGAACCACTCCAGACCACCTCAGTGGAACTAAAATACTCTTTCTCCATGTAATCTAGTTAGACGAAGCCTCCGAGCGTGACAAGCGTCGTCTGACTGAAGAGTACCATATCTCCACCATTATTGACCTTCGATCCAGGTGGGTGTACAGTGCACGCGTAACTTCACCCCTCCCAGAAGGCGTCTGAGACACAGATACATGGTGCCCAGGAACTAAAACCCTTGGATCCCAGCACCGAACACCACATGGCCGCCACGAAACGCCTTTCTGAGTTGGAGATCGCCCGTGCTTCCTGCAATCAGTCTAGCGACCATGCCAATCCCACCACTGCAACTGCATCTCCCACGTCTCCTCCTCCCACGACCTCCTCCTCCTCCTCCTCCTCCTCCTCCAGCCCAGATGACATCCACCTCGTTGACCTCCCACATGTCCAACGTAGGCTGGTCAGTCTCACCGGCAGAGCTTTTGAGCGAGCTTTACTTTGGCGCCTTGATTGGTGGAACTTCCTGTAATTCTTCCCCCCCCCCCTTCCCGCCATCTCTCCCCTCCCCTCTTCCTGGGTTCCCCTTCCCCTTCCCTCTTTTGAAGTCGGGGAACCTCTTGACAGGTCCTTGGCCTCCAATACCCACCACATAAACAAGAAAAGAAAGAACGAAAGAGGGGGGAACTCGCAGGCGGCAGCAAACCAGACGGAGTACAGACTAACTAGTCTTACCTATCCAAGAAAAGTCATTACGCTTGCAGCATCCGGCTACCGGGCCGACGCTGTCATTATCGTGGGTCAGCAGGTCATGTCTCCACGCGGCCTCATCGGGCTTGGCATCGATACCCTCGATAGTAGCTTCAGCGAGATGAGAGAGATTTTCGAATTGCTTGCCGGTAGCGAGACACAGGCTAGCTCGGAACTTAGCACAACCGATAGTAGCACGGATCCTTCGTCTGCCGCCTCACCCTACCCTGTTCTCGTCCACTGTACACAGGGTAAAGACCGCACGGGGTTGATCATTCTTCTCCTTCTGCTTCTGACGGGCGCTGTAACCCCAGAAGCCATTCGGGCCGACTATGTTCTCTCCGAGGGAGAGTTGGTCGTCGAGGTGGAGGAGCGGATGAAAGAGATCCGGATGCTAGGGCTGTCAGAGGACTATACCAAATGTCCCGATGGGTTTACTGCACAGATCTGTGCGCATCTAGAGACTAAGTATGGGGGCGTGGAGGGTTATCTGAAACAGGTGGGGGTGGACCAACTAGACCTGGAGCGAGTCAGGAAAAGTTTACTCGCATCTTAGGCTATGATAGAATAAAAACCCTATGGGTAGAATCTAGACAACTCTCTACAAAACCACAATTGGGAAGCAACTAAGTACAACAATTGAAGCATGGCATATACGCAATGATAGTTATCATGTAAAAACTGGTAAGTCATCATGCATTCCAAAGACAAGAATTAGGCAGAAATGACATCCAAGATGATCACACCAGACTCGAGAAGACAGAACAGTCAGGGTCAAGAGATATGCCAAAAAAAAAAAAAAAAAAAAAAAAAAAAAACTGAATCTGCTCAAAACAAATTCACAGGGTATCATGACATTATGCTCTCGTCTCACATGTGTGAATATATATATATATGTGTGTGTGTGCACTGAAGGTTATCGAACTCTCCAAGGTGGAAGAAATTGAACGATTATCTAATAAATCCGTTGACCGCGATAGTAGTTGGCATTGGGTCCGGCCGAGTCGGTGGTGACGGGTACTTCTTCAGTTCCTTCGTCGCTGCTGTTGCTGACATGGGCGTGCCCGTTCCGGCCCATCTCGATGCGCTTCTCGCCCTGCGGCACGTGTTTTCGGGTGCGAACCGAGGGCAACAAGTCAACCACAAAGGACAGGACATAGAACGTAAAAATCAAAGCGATCACTGTAGTTCGGGTACCGTCTGTCAGTTATCCCGTTCAATTTCAGCACGATCACTACCATATGACCTACCCCATTCTAAGACCGCAGCGGCATTGCGATAATGTCCGCCCTTATTTCCCAAGACGCCGAACGCAATGGCCAGCGCAATCTCGATAATGACGAAGGAGAGTTTGATGATGAAACTGGCCAGGAGGACACGATGCTGGGAGCGGTAGAAAATCCCTAGCCGCCAGTATTCGCAGCAGATGAGGATTGCGCTGATGAGGTAGCCCACCCTGGCAAATGGTAAGGCGAAATGCGTTAGCAACTCCTGGCTTCTTTCCAATACGCGCTTCTTTCACCGGCCGTGTTCCAACAGTGCCATGTGCTGCGCTTTGCTGGTACGTTGAATAGGACTTACAAGAACATCACCAGAAACCCGTCATGCATATGCGGATGCCGCAACGTATCGAAGATTGATAGCAGAATCAAACCCAGTGCACCGGCGATCGAGAAGCAGATGGAGGCGATCGCACAGCTTTTATCGAACAGACCCTTGTTGGGTACCAGCTGCCCTGCGTGACGAAGCCATCGTTCGGAGAGAAAGGAGAGGTCGAGAAAGGCGACAGTCACGCAGCTCCCTGCAATGAACAGGGGCTTGAGGCCCTGAGCACCAATGTCGGAGATATATCTATAAATGTCCAGAGATAGTCCCGTTAGTTCGTGGACTGGGGGCTGGAAACTGGAGATCGATGCTCGTGTGGTTTGTCTTGACGACAGTCACAGGGTATAGACTCACGCGATTGTTTGACCGGTTTCCATACTGGCGTATATAGGGCTACCCTCTCGAGCCCAGGTTGCCAACATGGCAATTAGCATGGCTGGAGTAAGCAACCAAATGGTTAGCGATCGTGCCTGAATATTGCGGTGGGATAAGATGAGCTGCGTACCAACCCAGGTGCATGCTGAAATGACTGGAAAGACCCAAAATGAGATGATCCACATGGTCAGGTATGTATCAAATCCTTGCGCCGCGATCGATGCGCCGTAAGAAGCCTTGTACGAAACTGTTGTTCGTTCGTTTCCCGTTTTCTACGAGGAATAATGACTTGAGGCCGTTTTAATGATGTGATGAGTAGTACAGTACTGGAATTAGTACAGTACGTACACCTTGGGAGCGTTCAAGCAATCGGCTGGAACGGAAGGGGCGGAAGTGGCTTAAGCCTGCCGATGCAGTACCAAGCTTTGAACCTGGGAGCAGGCCTTGGATGGAATTAATTAAATTAGTGTAGGGGATTTTGGAACGAACAAACACAAGACGACGAAGATTATAGGGAAAGAGGGAAAGAGGGGAGGAGGGTAGGGAAAGGAGGTGATTATCAATAATCAATTGCTCAGGCAGGAAACAGATCCATGACGACGATGAGAAGGAAGAGAGACCCACCGAGCAGCATTACTCGTAGCTAAGGTTCCTTAGTCGGCTAGTAACTAGTCTAACATCTCACTCAGCATTAACATCATCATCATCATCACTCCGCAGGCTTCGTCGACGTCATCGTCGCAATTTTCCTCTTCCCCCTCCGGCAAATCTTTCCATGTTCAAGCTTAGCTCAAGCTTAGCAAGTCTCTTCATCTCCGATTTGTTTATACTCGAGAGGCCTCCTTTTTTTTTTTTCTTTCTTTTCTCTATCCCTTTCCCTTTTCTTTCTTGGGTCAGGTGATTACATCCGAAGGCAGCCCGCTCAGTTACTATACTTACGCTCAAATAATACATATATATGTATATATTCATATCCATATTCATATGCTGACTCTAAACCCACTTGCTAGGCTAGTCGTGAACCAGTTACGTTGGTACTTCTTCCTTGTTTGATCCACCCCGCCAAATAAGTTACCACGTATCCACGTACCTGCTAGGATCTTCGCATCGCACGGTGACAATGACAATTGCTTTTGAGTCGGATAGCTAAAGGACACTCTAATCCAAACAAATCTCCAGGACACGCTTCATAGGTTACAGGCACAAGCATACGGAGCTTCAGGGACGACTGCCGCGATGATAACTTCCTCTCCCAACTGGCACCCGCGTTGGCATGCCAAGCGGCACTCGCCGCTCCAACACGTCTACTATGTGCACTTCATCGCTACTGTCCTCCAACCCACTGCTTCGATTTGCTCCATCCTCTCGGGGGTATTGCTCCGTCACTCTCCCCGGCCACCCTTGATTCATAGTCGCACTCCGTGCGCTGTTAGGACGATCGTCAAAAATATTCCGATAACTAGATATCGATGTCTTTCCTGAATGGCCGACCGAGTCGCGTCGAGGATCTAGCGGGTACGACGGAGATTCTATAGGATGAAGGGGCCGATGGGAGGATACCCATTGGGTATCGTCGTGGAGAGGACGCGTGAAGGCCGGCCTCCGCATGGAGCCAGGATTGCGAACAAGAGGTACTGCTGGTAAACGCTCCAGGGAGTAAGCTGGCTGAAGTGGAGATCGAGGGGGCGTGTGACTAGACTGAGAGCGAGAAGATGGCGATCGGGGTGAGGCTTCGGGGTTGTGAGAAGCACCCGAAGTGCGCGCCCAAAAGGCATAAGCACTGTTGTTTTCTGCAAGGGGAGACGGCACGCTGTGCTTTCTCGGGGAGGATGACACATAGGAACCACCACTACGAGGTGCTTCCCCTGCAACTCGCTGGCTGGAACTTTCAGGAGGCTTCAGGTATCGATTGTCAAACAACGTCCCTTTCCAAGCGTTGGCACGGGTATCTTGCTCGGTTCCGCTTCTCGACCCGGTCCGCATGCGTTCTATCGCCTCTAGCTCCCGTTTCGATAAACGCACGTTCTTCTGGCCCTGAACCTGCGCGTGTCGTATCCGGTCGAGAGCCTGATCTACCAGTCGCTCCTCCTTGTCCTTCATGGCCAACTGCACTGCATAAGCCACCGTGCTGTCCATGCTATCCTGTAGGTCGTAGTCCATCTCATCGACAGCAGCCATTTCGTCTTCGTAGAACGCGTCATACTCTACCATTCGCCTCCGTCGAATCGATCCTCCATTGATCTCCCGATCCGCTGCCTGCCTTGCCTGTGATATGCGCATATCTTGACGACTGTACATATCGTCCTCCTCACTGTCAAGCTCCTCAACCCTTGAGCTCTCATCCACCCACGGAGCCGCACGTCTCCTGGTTTGTCTCCCCACTCGTGCCCGCGGTGGTCTTCCCCATCGGGGCATACCGTAAGGAGTTCGCGGCCGACCACCTAGACCGCCTCCTCGGAAAAAGCATTCTCGATTGGTTTATCCATGAAAGCGGCGTGACCAAAGACGGCCACGCCGGTGGCTCCGATCAACCAGAGCACAGTAGCAATGGGCGAGGCCCAGAATCCTAGGGGGACCGCGACAAGTAGCAGCCCAGTGTACAGCTGGGAGGTGTTGAAGCGGGCAACGCCCAAATCGAGGTCTCGGCCCTGGAGCTTGCCAATTCCGTAAAGACCACCTGTCACGAAGATGATAACAAAGAGCAGGACCGGGTTGGTCAGCAAGCTATAGATGCTAAGCATCACGAAGACGGCAGCATAATTGCTCGAGAAATAAGACAAGTTGTAGTTCACTCGGCTCTGAACCTCGCCAAAGTTGGCGGGCTTTGAGATACGCTTGACATCCAGGAATTCGGAAACAGGACGGAGGTTAGCGAAGCGCGTGCTAAAGGATTGGGAGCGAACACTGTTGAAACGGTCACCGAATCGCGAGGTGATCGCATCAATAGGAAATTGGAGGGGACTCATGTTGGAAAGTCTAGTGGATGGCGGAAATGGATGTAGAAGGAAGGAATAGTAAACACAAACTTAGGCTGGGTAGCAGAATAGAGGTAGCAAAAAGATGTAGCTCGTGGCGACGACGACGGGCAATAAAGATGAAAGAAGAATTGCTTTGGTCAATACGAATGAGACGAGGTAGGCAGGGGGGGAATGGCGAGAAGTCGGAGAAAGCAGTGGTGAACAGAAAGAGTTTCCGCAACTGAATGACTTGAACTGGCTTAGTTGGCCCAAACGCCCAAGCCCAGTCCTTTTTGGTCACCCCCGGCGTGCGGAAAGCCAACTAAGCATAGACACAGACCACAATAACAGACAAAGTGCTGGGGAGCAAAAGACAAGTCTGTTGACTCGGGAAGCAACCAAAGCCTCCCAAACCGGCCAAAACACAAATCCAAACTGGATGGAAAGGGCAGGGGAAAAATCAAATTGGATCCGTGAAGTAACCTATTAGGGGAGAGCACGAAAACAACTGAAGAAGAAAGTTGAAGGAAAGACAGACCAGTTGATGCTCTAAGAATAGAAATAGAGAGAAAGAGAGAGATGCTGGATGCGGCAGCGCAGTGGGGAAGCACAGCAAATGTCTTGTCGACATGCTAAGCAGACCAAGGGCAATTAATCATCCTCTCTTTTGTTCTAGTTATCTTTCTTTCTTTCTTTCTTTCTTCTTCCCTCTTTTCACTATAACTGTCTTTTTTGTCGTCGCCTTCAGTCCCTGGTGAGAGGCGTGTTCTCTTTCCGTCCAGGCACCGGTAACGTACAGTAGCCGTTTCGTTGCCTCAGGCTGGGAACCTTTGGAGATAAAGAGGATCAGAAGTTAAGTAGTGCAAGGTATCGAAGGAAAAGGAAGGGACCGAGTCTGAATTTAAGCCTTTTGATCCCTCCTCTTCCTCTTTCTTTTCCCCTCCAAGCCCAGCCCTTAGGAATCGGAGAACCCTGGCCATAATGCACAGTACATTCATATGTAAACTGGAGTATTCGCACATCAATCACACTTTGATTCGCTTCATCACGCGTGGTCTGAAGCGAATTACAGTGCAGTACAGTATTGTACATAGTCAGGGATTCTACCTATTTTCTACCTGACAGGTCAGAAGTGACTCAATTCTAATCTTTATTGGTCCACGTCGTGCATAGAAGTGGATTATTGTTATATTGGTGTTAAAGAAAACCTGCTGCATACCTCTCAATACATAGTAAGCTAACTTGACTGCGCTCTTTCAGCAGAGGAGAGGAGAAGACGACGAACCTACATTTGGGTGTAGAAGGTGGTGTACTAGTTACGGCAAAGTTAACATTACTACAAGAAATAGTCAGGGCGGTGTGATGCGTGGCAGTTCCGACTTCTGGAGAGGTGTAACACTGTATGTACTGTACTGTATATACATACACAGATACAGTACGGGAGCAGCGAGAGTAGATGACAGATAAGCCATTGAATCAAATTTTCAAATTCCTTAATCTCATCTCGCTCGGATTCCTACAAGTACGGAGTAAGTATTCTTGAACTGGGCAGAGCGGTCTTGACCGCCCTATTTTCCCACCATGAAGCCCTTCTCACTCCGTCTGCTATTCCTTGCTGCTCTGTTTGTCCTGTCTGCGGCTTGGACCAAAGAAGGTAAATTCTCTGATTGTATACTACTCAACCTATTGTTCCCTGTTAACATTGACGTCACCTTAGACCACGAAATCTTCCAGCTTCGTGAAGAAGTCATCTCCAAAGAAGGCGCGAATGTGACATTCTACGGTACTCCCTCCGCATTGCTTTCCCTTGCTCCTACGCCATCAGTGTTGATTGATCAATCTAATACTTGTGTAGACGTCTTGGGCGTGAAACCGAATGCCAACCAAGACGAATTGACCAAAGCCTACCGTCAGAAGTCAAAGCTCCTCCACCCTGACAAAGTGAGACGATCCTTCATCGCCAACAGCTCTAAGGACAAGTCAAGGGCCAAAGCCAACAAGGCCGGTGTCCATGTTAACAAGGGCCCTTCGAAACGTGAGATCGACGCGGCCGTCAAAGAAGCCCATGATCGCGCGGCCCGTCTGAACACTGTTGCCAACATTCTGCGTGGAGCTTCTCGGGAGCGTTATGACCATTTCCTGAAGAATGGTTTTCCGAAGTGGAAGGGTACCGGATACTACTATTCACGATTTCGCCCGGGCTTGGGCTCTGTCCTGGTCGGGCTGTTTCTGGTCTTTGGGGGCGGCGCCCACTATGCCGCACTCGTGCTGAGCTGGAAGCGTCAGCGGGAATTCGTCGATCGGTACATCCGTCAAGCCCGTAGAGCTGCATGGGGCGACGAGTCGGGTGTTCGAGGTATCCCTGGACTGAATGGTGGTGTTGCTGCCGAACCAACCACGCCAACTCCGGAACCTGAGCCCAGTGCTGTGCCAATGAACCGACGCCAGAAGCGCATGATGGAGAGAGAAAACCGCAAAGAGGGCAAGAAAAGTGCTGGTCGAATCAACGGTCGCAGCTCTGGGACTGCAACGCCCACCAATGAGGCCGTGGAGCCCACCGGCGAAAGGAAACGTGTCGTCGCAGAGAATGGAAAAGTTCTCATCGTGGATTCGGTGGGACATGTGTTCCTGGAGGAGGAGACGGAAGATGGAGAACGCCGAGAGTTCCTCCTCGACATTGACGAGATTCCACGCCCTACCTTCCGCGATACAATGGTGTTCCGGATGCCCGGCTGGGTCTACCACAAAACCCTCGGCCGAGTGCTTGGCTCATCCGACGCCATGGGTAGCGATATCAATGAGCGCGAGGAACTGGCCGAGACAGCGCAAGATATAGTCGAGGATGTGATTAGCTCTGCTACAGCTTCCAACAAGGGCGCATCCAGGCGGAGGGCGAAGCGCACACAAAAGTCTTAACCTCTTGGACCAAATTTCGAGGGAATGAATCCAAGCCCAACATTCTTGCTTGGATTGTTTTTCCGGCCTCGTCATTTTCAGACATTGAATAGATGCGCCAATGAATGTATACTTACCATTCGACTCCGGCTGTTTGTATATGAGTGCAATGCTCTGGAAATCTACTCAGTACAACTTAGTAGTCACGTTCTTAGTAAGTGGTCTAAGTGCATCCTGTTAATAGATCATTACATAAGAACAAGCAGTATTGTATTATAACGGCTATCCTATGATTGCAGTCGCTACCAAGGAGACTGTCAGAAGTTACAAGCAAACAGCCCGCAATTGCAAATTTCGATCAAAATATGGTCATCATCTTCGTAGTCATATCCAGTCGTCTCTAGATGTCCAAAGCTCATCGCAAATTCGGCGAAAGCGCATTGGTGAGTAGAGTATACACGTTGGGTCTCATAAACAGTTTGGCGTCGTATCGGAAAGGCAAAGGCTTGAGTTCTAGGACCTATATGAACATTTTGGCAATGCTGAACAGTCCACTGATATTGTCCGATAGGCCGGCCCCGCCAGGTCGCAGCGCCGATGCTCCGAGGAGGTTCTTTGGCAAACGGATACCGATCATGCCCAATAGCCTTTGCAGGACACCAGTTGTCAGAAGTGGGATCACGAGCAGCGTCAGGACCTTTATAGGGTGGTCGCGTGCATATTTCCACGCATCGCGAAAGATGCGCTGGATGATGTGAACTATCCGTGCGACAAACCCTTCCCTGGGCCGTGCGCGTCGTGACGATGAGGAGGAGAACACCGATGGGCTGGATCGTCCTGCACGATTGACACCACTGCCCAGGCTGAAAACTGATGGTGCGGAATGGCGGGCATTGTAGGACGAGTACGTAGAACGCCGGGAAGGGGAGGAGCGTCGACGAGAGTGATGCCTTTGAGATGACGAGGAGGTCGGGGATTTTCCATCGAACCAGCCCATTGTGGATTATTTTCACTCAGCAATGGGGCCTAGCCAGCAGCCAATAGAGCCTTGAAAAGGTGACTGTGCTCTTTGATCGCACAGACTGTGTATGAAACTTGACAGTGGTTGATAAGTGGAGGACGTGATGGTGGCCAGATCTGCCGATAATGGGAACAATAGTTAATACTAGTTAGGATGAAAGACGAGAACAATCGATCAGCGAGAGGGACGTAGTGCCCTCGAGGACAGGAATGTGTTCTTTCTGAGATCGGATCGACAAGAGGGCGGGAGTCAATTGGGACTAGTCAGCTTCAGATGCACGAGTGTAGTTGCCCCGGCCCCCAATGGCTCGCTCTAAGTTACTACCTAAGTATTAAATTCTAAGCGATCGTGGTCGCGAATATGAAGCTGATCTTGTCAGCGTAGACGAGACTGGGGTCTAGGTATGAGTAGGATAGGATACCTTGGGAATCTTGTCATGTTCAATCTATGTGAAGTAACAAAAAGTTACCAAGATGCAAATATGACTTTGGTGTAATTGAAGAATGTTTATAAAATTGGTAGAAACAGTGTACTGTACCTAGGCATATTTAAAGCAGGAACCTGCTTGAGAAGGGCAAATCCGTCAGGGGCCGGGCTCCCCGTGGCCGTGGGCCGTTCCTGGTACTAACTTACATAGTATTATGCGTATGTACAGTACAATACAGTCAGTACATGACAGTACTCACAAGGAGTAGTTAAGTTAGGTAAGCCGGCTCAGCTCTCGATGCCTTACACGAGAAGCTCAGGCACTCACTCTAATGGCTGTCGACGTCATGGTCGGGGGCGGTTGACTCTTTCGTCGGTTCGACCACTTCAGCAACCACTTTTGCCTCAAGTCCACTAACATAGCTCTTAGCGCGGAACAAGTTGATGACCTTCATTTACTAAATTGAATCTCTCTTGAGCAAGCTGATTGTAGTAAATCATGGCGAGTGAGTGCATCTCAACAGATTTTCGCACAAATTCGAGCAGAACGCATACTCACTATATCTCTTAGGACAGAGAGACCTTTGTAAGAGGGCCACCGCGAAGTTGAAGACACACTGCTAGCAGACTGACTTCGTCATTTATATAGATAAGGTTCTTGGGGTATCTCCTAAAGCAACCCAGCAAGAAATTCGCAATGCATACAAAAGGTGCGGCACGTTACTGATTTGTTTAGAGTCAGCACAACACTGACACATCTACAGAGAGTCACTGAAGTCGCACCCCGACCGAGTGCCTGCCGATTCGCCTGAGAGGCCAGCTCGGACTCGTAGGTTCCAAGAAATCAACGATGCTTATTATACGTTATCGGACATATCACGCCGGCGCGATTACGATGCGACACGATTGGCAGATGGGGTGGATGAAGAATATGATATACCTCAAGGAGGTGCCGGTGGTTTCCCATGGTCCGCTTTCGGCTTCGGTTCCGCTACTGATAGAGAGCAACGGGCATCGGAGCAATTTGGGTCTGTCTTTGAGGAGATGCTACGCGAAGAGGGTCTTGCGAGTGAAGACACCGATGCTGATGGCCGCACGCAAACCCGTCCTACGTCACGCTTCTGGTCCATTGTTGGCGGTATTAGTGGCGGCGCACTGGGGTTCATCATTGGTAATGCTCCCGGGGCGTTGGCTGGAGCTGTCGCGGGTAATCGACTGGGAGCGGTACGTGACGCAAAGGGAAAGAGTGTCTACGAGGTCTTTCTGGAGCTGCCTCAAACCGACCGTGCTCGGCTGTTGAGTGAGTTGGCAGCCAAGGTCTTCCAGACTACAATGGGCCATTGAGGAAATTGACATGTGACAATGCAGAGTGGGATACTCATCCCTTGTGTGCAGCAGTCATGTGCCCTCTTAGACTTATTCATTCTTCCCATGGTGTCGATGTGGGTAATAGTGTCTTGGTTTTTGGGTACTTCAAGTCTACGATCATATTCGCTACAGTCTTTCTCACAATGCTGCTTAGGCACCACGTAGAGCGTCCAAGAAGTATTGTATATTTGAAATGTGAGACTATCTGTCTCCATCTGCCCTTGCTGATCAATGCAGCAGGTCATCGAAGCTGCGGGACTTATCAAGGTTATCGATAAGCCATCGGGACCCACGTGGATCGACTGTCTCGGCCTCGACTGTCTTCACACAATGCAGCCTTGATGCCTGAGCTAGTCCCCGCTATCACCTCCCCACTTCACCGCATGCGTCCTTCCCCCCCTGAATTCGACCATTTTCGCCGTCTTGTCGCTCTCGAGTGGCTATTGAAAGTCTCCCTTTCTTCTCCTCGCTTTTCACACAAAGTTCACAAACAAGATCTCTTAATTGTGTTTGGCATCATGGCTGAAGGCGCAAGCGTGTATCCATCTTTGCCGAATCGGCCTTTACAGGGGACCATTTGTCTTTTCGATGTCGACAACACACTGTCACTCCCGAGAAGGGTGAGCTACTCCCTCAATATTAGAAGTTGTGAACTTGGATCAATTGATCTTGCTGTCTTTGGTGTCAAGCGACCGAGAGACTAATAATCGATCGCTCGTAACCAGGGTGCCACTCCAGAAATGCTGGAACTCCTCTCTCGACTTCGCCACAAGTGTGCTATCGGATATGTCAGTTCTTCAAATGGAAACTTGACTCCAGCGATCTAATAATGCCTAGGTTGGTGGATCGGATTTCGCCAAGCAGCAAGAACAGCTTGGCTCAGCTACAACAAACGTCACATCCCTCTTTGACTTTTGCTTCCCTGAGAACGGTTTGACTGCTTTTCGTCTGGGACAGCCGCTCGCTGGAACCAGCTTCATTGAGTGGATTGGAGAGGAAAGATACCAGGAGCTGGTCAACTTCTGCCTTAAATACATCGCGGATTTGAAGATTCCTAAGAAGCGTGGTACCTTCATCGAGTTTCGCAACGGAATGATTAATGTCAGCCCCATTGGCAGAAACGCTAGCTTCGACGAGAGAAATGAGTTCCAAGCGTGTGTCTCCCCTCAGGCCTAGCGGTCTGCATGCGACTCGAGCTTGACTGACTAATGTCCTCTCTACAGATATGATGATGTGCACCATATCCGTCGAGACTTGGTAGAAGCTCTCAAGAAGAAGTTCCCTGATTGGGGTCTCACGTGAGTCCTGGGATAGGCACCCCAACACATCCTGTACTCCCTTGTTGCTAATCACACTGTGGACTTAGCTACTCTATTGGCGGCCAGATCTCGTTCGATGTTTTCCCTACTGGCTGGGACAAAACCTACTGCCTGAAGCACGTCGCCGCTGAGAAGGAGATATCTGGCGTGGATTACAAGACGATTCACTTCTTTGGAGACAAATGCTTCGAGGGAGGCAACGACTACGAGATTTATAGCGACTCTAGGACAATCGGTCATGCCGTTCAAAACCCCGATGACACCATGAAGTTATTAAAAGAGCTTTTCGAGCTATAGATGGGCCGAAGAAGTGCTATAGTCCGGCTTTCTCTCGGAAAGTGATCCATATGGACTGGAGTGAAAGTGGGATACCTAAGCTCGCGTTAGGTCCCGAGGAAAATATACTAATTGGTTCAGAGGCATAAGTGCAAAAGACGATTTGTACTGTAGATGGTTGCTATATGAAGTATAATTTAAACCAGTCACACGGTTTTATTGTAAATTATGTATATATGTGTATTATTTCGACTCATGAAGGAACGTGCAGACACGCCCACGCTTCTAGGAACCGGAAAAGCCCGGGGGTTCTGGTATCTTGCGTAAGACCCCAGAATGCCGTTGAGGGTGTAAATGGCAGCAATCACATGCAGGCAAGCAAGCAAGGCCCGCCGTCCCCGACTTCGGGGTTTAGTCATCGTCAACCGGCACCTCATCATGCACCATCCATCCTTCTTCACCCAGATCAGGCTCAGGCTCAGGCTCAGGCTCTTTTACCACGCGCTTTTGTGTGGCCATCACTTCTTTTGGTATCGCATAACTCCGTCTCCGTGCCAATAATGGCGTCTCAAAAGACAGTTGCGGAGGTACCCCGTTCCATCCTTCCCCGTCTTACATGGAACGGCTCTTCTGCTCGGACGACTATTGCACCCCCGACCACTCTTCCAGCAGCGCGCCAACAGAAGCAGCAATTGACACGCTTCTGGAACCAGGCTGGACGGCATTTACACAGTCTAGCTAGCCTCTCTTCTTCCTCCCTAAGTCACTCCGCCACACCCCGGGGCACTGGTGCTTCGTCGGCGATCGCAAAGCGGTTTGCCTCGGCCCGCCACACAACCAGCCCTCCCGATGTACAAGGCCTCGGCCATCCTATCCGCTATGACGGTGTCTATGTCGCCGCCTTCAAGCCTGCTCGACGTGCTTTCCATGCTTCCACAGTCCGTCAACGAGATCACCATTTCGATACTCTGAAGTTCGTACAGCGGTTGAAGGATGAAGGGTTCAGTGAGGAGCAGGCCGTCGCCATGATGAGAGTTTTGAATGATATCATCGAAGAGTCGATCCAAAATCTTACCCGTACAATGGTTCTAAGAGAAGGTAGGGATATATTGCAGAATGATGCAGATCACTAGGATGCTTATACCTTGTCGTCGTCCAGACACCGAACGATCAGCATATACACAAAAGGTCGACTTCGCCAAGCTCCGCTCCGAATTGCTAAATGCAGACTCGACCGAAGCGCAACTGACGCGCTCATCGCACGAGAAGATTGCTGCAGACCTTGCCAAGCTCAACTCGCGCCTCCGCGACGAGATTGGGCGCACACAGGCGTCCGTGCGCCTGGATTTGAACCTCGAGAAAGGCAGGATTCGTGAAGAAGCGAATGGACAGGAAATGCGCATCAAGGAGACAGAAACACGGATCGAGCAGGAAGTTGCCGGCTTAAGGGAGCGTGTGGAAGCAGTCAAGTTTTCCACTCTACAATGGCTCATGTAAGATCTCGTGATTCTTTGCTGCAGGAAGTATGGTATACTGACATATGTGCTCTAGGGGTGTATGCACCGGTACCGCTGCACTTATTCTGGGTGCCTGGCGTCTTTTCATGTGAGAATTTTAGCGTACTTGGAGGATTACATTACTGCAACCTCAAGATCTGTATTATAGCAACTATTTGTTCACCATATCTTGTTTCATGAGCATGCTGGAGCTCTACAGCGGCGTCCATCAGGGACTCACTGGGAAACACCGCTCCCACTCTCATCCACCGATGAAAGACAATAATGCTCGAAACCAACCACCCTAGTGATCCATCCAGTTTCCAAGTGTGTTAACCTGAATAGTTCTGGTTCAGCCCCAAGTGACTGTGGTCAAGACTGGCAATTTGTTAAGCTCAGGGCTCCAACCAATAGCGATGACGAGGGCGATAGTATTGATAAGGAAAGCTAGTAGGATCTAGAGGCAATAGGTCTGGGGACGCGGAGGGGCCTATTAGCAAACTTACGATGCTCGAGCGCCTCCCTCCTCAATTTCGTAACAGTCATTGTTGTGGAAGTTGGACTGGATGCTCGGTAGTGGCCTAGGAAGTACACCGAGACGCAGTACAATACTACGGCTTGGAAGGAATGCATTAATATGCATGGTCGGTGGCTCATAGATCTGTCTTGTCAACGTCATGAGGCTACCGCACAATTACGCTTTTCATAAGCGTGTAAACAAACCAGCTCGCCTGTGACATGGAAGGACTTGGTATTGACACGTCGACAGCAGAACCAGCGAAAATGAGGCGGTTGGGTACTTCAAATTGCTACAAGCCTTGGCTCATAAATGCCCCACATTCGAGGGGATTGCTGTTAATCTGCGACATGGTACTGTTGATTGCTCTACTCTAGATGCAATACTGAATCAGGACACCACCACATATCAGGCCCCGAAATCTGAAGATTGCTTGTTCATCCACCACTTTCAGAACTTTCAAACCGGCTGGGTCAAGACCCTGACGGCAAGGTTACGAATTCATTAACGCCACACTTCTCTGCTCAGCGGCCTCGCCTTCCAAGAACCTCACGACTTCACCTGCGGCATCCATGTGGGTACTGTTGGCTTTCCTGAAAAGGCATCGCCATAGATCGTCTTCCTGGACAAGTTCACCACCCAAGGGGCCGCTTGCCATCATTTTGGAAAGCGGCGCATCTTGAATCTCAAGAGAATTCGCTGCATCAATTGCTGTCTCGGTAAGCGTGGTGCTTGCCGTCTCATGAGCGCCATTTACTAGAAACTCTGATGGTCTGTCCTCTTGCTGTTCCTCCTTTTGCATGATATGGGCTAGACGACGCGACACAGACAGATCGTAAATCGATTCCTCAACAGTGTCAGAGACCAGATACATCCAGACGGTTGTTGGCCGATGCTGGCCTATGCGATGTACGCGAGCAATGGCCTGAAGCTCGATTGCAGTATTGATCAAGGGTTCACAGAATATGACATTTGTCGCACAAATAAGATTAAGTCCCGATGAATGGGCTCGGGCGTGCAGGAGAAAGCATTCCAGCTAGATACAGGCGACTGTCAGCATTAAGGTTCTTAAATTTATAGCGTTGCGTACAACTCAGGTATGGCTCTCACCGCAGGGTCGCTCTTGAAATTCTGGATGCCATCTTTGCTGTCAACACTGCTGAACCCAATCTTGAACCGGGATAAGGCAGATGCTAGAATTTCAAGGAAGTTCTTGTACTGGGAAAACACTACCGACTTAGCCCCAGGATCGTGCTCACGGAGCCACAGTATGTGGCGAGCCAGAGTATCGATCTTAGTGCCAAAAGAAGAATTCAAATCAATATTCTTGATCTCGTTTAGCGTGCTCGAACTGATATCATGGTATATTGAGTTTGTGGAAGACGGTCGTTCAGACATGGCCTTGGTCGGTGCCTTCTCTTCTTGCACAACATAATCCTGAGGCTTGTATGTGATCTGATGGAAATCGTTCGCTTTCAGCCTTCGTTTACATGTAGGACAAGTCCGATGCTGACGCCACCATATGCCCAAACAATGCTGGCAATAGTGATGGCCACATACAGTCAAAACACCTTATTGATGTAAGCAAAACCTGGCTCCAACTAGTCAGAGGATGCCGCAACTCACCAATCTCAAAGCCTGATTGGCATATCACGCATATTCTGGTGGACTCATCCACGCTCGGTTCGTCTCGAAGATGGATTAAATAGCGGTGCTTTGCGCGCAAAGCCGATATTCTTCCATCAATAACGTTCTCTTGAGAGAGCTTCGCCTCGAAGATGGCCTCATCTAAAGGCTTTCCGACGCTCTCCTCGTCAAACGGGGCCACGGTGTCAGAGATTTGCTGTAATTGACGATAGTACTCAAGACGATAATTCATCGTGTCCCGGAACATCTCAACCTCTCTCTCGAGGCTTGAAACAACCTTGGAATGTTCTGCAGCCATAGCACTGGCATTTTTCAACACCAAACTGGCGATTTCCATTTCGGCCCGAGCCCGAGCGCTTCCCTCAGTTGCCTGCCATTCAAGGGATGTGGTCAAGCTGCGAAGCTCACTGATAATACCACGAAGAGAGCCCAATTGAGGATCGGGCTTCATACGACTTCGCATGTTCATGATATTCAGAAACAGCTCTGGTGAAGGGCCCTCGCCCTTCTGGGCCTGAGCGACTCCGCCTTTGACTTCATGAGCAATAAGCACATTCTTCTGTCCAGTCAGACAGTCGTGGCGATCGGCGAACATGGCGCGTAGTGCCTCCATATAAACATACATTTCATCTTGATGTTTGGTAGATCTTTCGTATTCGTTCCCTTGAAGCTCCGATTCATCCTCCTGGTCAATGAGCGACTGGGAAAGAAGATGAACCATGGTTCGACGCCACTCGTCGTATTGTGCAGCATGTTTATTCATAGCCTCGCAGAAGTCTTCGAATTTCTCGAGCACACGGCGAGCCTCTACGCCTATGTTATATATCTGAGGCTTCATCTTCGGTATGACCACATATCGCTTGTTGCGCAGCATCTCCCTGATTATTCTCATGTGATTTCCTACCTTCTTAGACACATCCGTCAATATTTCCTTCCGAATGGACTTGGCAGTGGCGTACGCCTCCTCTTCCCGTTGCTCGAGAGATTTGAATTCATCAGAGTCAGGGTCAGTCAATTTGAGATCCGATTTGATCTGATAGTACGCATTGCCCATGAAGAATATACCCATATGCTGGACCTCAAGAGCAGCGCGGAGCCTCTGTCGGTAGGTGCCTATGCGATTACTCTTGTCCGAATCTTCACTCTCGTCATTGGTTGCCAGGTCATTCGATGCCGATTCTTGACTAGTGCCCACATTTGATACCCGAAGTCTCTCGATCTCTGTTTGAAGTCGACCTCGACAATCGTTGACGATTGCACTCGCTCTCTCAAAGCAAGTCCTCCACAGCTCAAGTGCTTCTCGTTTTCTCAAAGCATTCTCCAGCAATTGCCCACGGCGCATTCGCAACAAGAGACGTTCACGTTCTTGAGCGTTTACTCTCACGTCGTTTTCATCAATCATAACCTCCAAAACTTCTTGGACTGAGCGTAACGGACCGTTAGACCCAGCGGTAAATCCTCGACCCTGATTGGGATGAAGACACGTCTGGCGAAGTCTGGCAAGCCAGCTCCTCATTTTCTCGATGACTAATGAGTCATTAGGATTCCAGTAATCATGGATAGGTGCACCTGAAATATCAAGCCCGCACTCTTCACACATTTGCTCATATAGCTGTCTGTAATGTTGCTCTTCAACTGCAGTGAAAGGTATTGTGATAACAAACCTTTTCTGAGGTGGTATGCGGAGCTCCCCTCGAATGCGATCTTTGCTATTCCTCAGAGCAATAGTTTGTGTGATACGCGCCAGAACAGGGCGAAACGACCGGCATAACCTATTCCAAATAGAACCACAGAAAGGATCATAGCGCAGAAATAGAAGAAGGCCGAGAAGGTCTGTGATGTCCTTGCGGATAGGGGTCCCGGTCACAGCCCAGGCCAACTGGCGCGGGATCAAACGAGCAACCTTGGCTGCATTACTGACGCCACTCTCTATCATCTGGGCTTCATCCAGACAAACTCGCCACCAATGAATTTGAACAAGAGGCGTCTTCCGTGGCTCGAACCTTTTTTCATGTCGAAGATTTCGCTGCGGAGCATTTCCAGAGTAATGAATCTCTCGAGCAAGAACATTATAGGTCGTGAGGACGACATCGTGATCAGCCACCATATCAACCAAGCCACGCTCTGATATCTCATGGTGACGGTTGATACCCTCATAGTGGAAAACACGAAGACTCGGAGCGTGTAGCAAAATCTCCTCCCTCCACTGGTCGAGAATCGCAGGTGGCGTTATAATCAGAGTGGCACGGGAGGGTCTCAAGCCACCAGTGGGGCTTGGACGTTGGGTCTCAGGTAGTACTTTTCGACGGTGGAGGCACATTAGACTGATCATTTCGACCGTCTTACCCAGGCCCATTTCTTCGGCCAGGATACCGCCTCGTAAGACTGTCCTCTGTGCAGAGATATCTGTAGTCACAATCATGAGGAGATGGCTCGCATAACAGCACTTCCCATCCGCATCTGTGATACGAATGAAGGAGGCTGGTAGATCACTATCTGAATCCACCTCAATAGGGATTACCTGTCCATCGGGGCATAATTTGACGCCCTCCCTCTGTAAGAGCCACCTGACGGTCCGTCTCTGAAAGGGGAAAAGCTGACACTCTGTCAGGGCGCATTTAATCTCGGCCGAGCCCCAGGGCGTATCAGGTGGTACATGAACGTTTTCGTAAAAATCGCGTGGTGACCAACTCGCCCCCTGCCCTTGAAATCTTTGGGTGTGTGCTGTGTGCTCCATGAGCGAACCGTCACACTTTCTCAGAACATACTTCGAAAAGACCCTGGATGAGGCAGGCAATAGACTTCTGGAATCTAGAATATCTTTCGAATCCTTCCAAAGGATGACAGTTTCCAGTCTGAAGGACTTCCCATCAGGGAGCTGATGCAAGGTTGCCTGGTAGCACACAGACGGCGCACTCTTAACAAATCGATCGGCGCAGGGCAAGCTTCCTAACAATTCGCCATCAATGGCATTGATGAGCTTACGGTCGGTGATTCTATCTGAGAATATAACTTCCTGTCCGGGCACTGCTAATAAGTTCAGCTGAAGGCTGCCAAGCTTGTCCTCATTCACAGTGGTATCAGAATAAACAGAAGCGGCAGTGACTGTCTGCACCACAACAGGAAGACGTGAGACGTATTCGAATGAATGCAGTAGTCTTTCTGCACTTCTCGAGTGAGCAAAGTTCTGTTGATGAAGCTTTTAGCAGACTCAACCTTATGAGGCCATGCCAGGTCACGCTTGTATATGAATTTGGCGATCACCTACCAATCCGATATGACATCGTGCTAGCGGAATATAGCCCAGCGGAATTTCTGATGTCAGAAGTCCATTGAGATCTCTTAGACTCTGGGGTGCCAAAGACAACTTGAGCCGCTTGTTTGGTGGTCCATAATGTTCAATGCTGCAGCTAGTTCTCAAGAAGGCAGCAACCAGAGTATCTGGGACAAGACCTGGAGTCCTTGGTCAGCGGTTAACCCATATAAGAAAGAGCAAGCTCCAGGCTACCTGAATAATTAAGTTCTGTTTCTACCGTGGCCATGCTATCTTCTTGCTATACATATCTTGATTGCCACAGTATGAGTTGATCTGCTGGGGCTCTCAGGAGGCGACAGAAGAGCTGTCTTATCAGTTAAGCTCACGTGCCGATAAGAACTGTCCATCTGCTGAAGTATCTCAATAGTTAATTCTATCATACACGAAGGTCTCAGATCATCTAATTCGGTATAAGAAAAGGATCAACTAGTGATTTATGATACTTCAGAGATTCTTAGTTGCCTGCATCATACACCACACTGCCGTTGACCGCGTGTACTTCCCGACTATATGAGACACCATTAGCGTCGCTCTCAAAGACATCTTTTGTCTCGCCGTACGAAGCACTATCATCTGAAGTTGACTGATAAAAAGCCGTGCCCGATTGCTCGGTGTGCAAGTTCAGAGGGCCTGAGGTAAGAGTGTATGTTGAGATCCCCAGGCCTCCTGTAGCTTCAATGTCAAGACCTCTGCGCATCCAAGCAATTATAGTAAGCCCATCGTCCAGATCATAAGTCTGGTTACAAAGTAAAGGATAATCAAATGTGACCTCATTGAGTACTTTGCTTCCTATGAGCTGGTTGCGTCCAGAAGTATGCTGGAGGTTACTCTGGCTCAGACCTTGCTGGTTCAAGGTTCCATAGTTCGAGTAGGAAAGATTCTGACGCCACGCATAACCGGCAGACTCAACTGTAAAGGTTCTCTGCGCTGTTATGGAGTAAATCAATGTCTCATTTCCCCCAGCTGCATTCTGCACAAGGTTGCGCGTCGCTTTGAATTCCGGTGGCGGAGCTGTTGAAATTGGTTTGCGACTAGGAGATAACTGGGGTGCGGATTCATCCAGATACAAGAAAATAGTTCCAGTCACGATCCAATAGGATCCAACAGTATCAGAGAATGTGACAGCTCCGCTGTCAGAGATGTTGAGTCCTGTGACCCTAATTTCGAAAGAATGGGTCTTGTTGTCCAGCAGCACGGGTAACCACGGGGTGATGTCAATTTCTGGCTGCCTCAAGTCGAAGGCGTCAATGCCAACAATTGGACGCCAGAAACCCGGCGCGACACCACCAGTGAAAATAATGGGAAATGGCCAGACCACCCCTGCCATCATGCCATCGATATAGAGTTGTACCTCGCGAAAGGGGGAGTATCCGTACAGCTCCCCAATGGTGCTATCGAATGACCACGAGTCGGATGTAAAGACGTTCGACCACCAAAACTCTTCTGTTGATTGACCAGTGGCGGCGATTGAAACGACAGCACGTGAAGTAGTCGGAGGGAATCGGTGAAGTACAGTCGCATTGTCCGATGGAAGCTCAAAGTCGCTGGACGCGTTTTGTGATGACCTTTTCGCAGAGATAGGCAAGATGGCATCTGGCGTCTTTACATTGTCCTCGTAGGAGAAATAGGCTGTCAATGTTGTGTTGTAATGCCCAGTATAGACATCAGTGATGATATTTCCCAGGTCGAATATTATCTTTTGCTTCTCTTTCCAGAGGGTGTTAAATTGTGACATGTCTTTGAAATAGGTCCAGATAATGCCATCGCTGGTTGGTTCCGCGGTTGATGTACGCCATAATTCAGTATCACCAAGATAGAAAATGGCAAGACGATCATATTGTCTGCCAATCGAGGTGACAGTAAGGTTGATGCGAACGGTGTCAAACTTGCAGCGAGGAGGCTCATACAATCTATACACGTCTAGTTTAGTGCTGTCTCTCGTCGATCTGCAAGAGACCCGTCACTCACCCAACATAGGGGAGAGAATAACTATTCCCGAAGTCGTAGTCCACTAAGACGCGCTCCTCTCCTGCACATTGATTGTGCCCATCGCTTGCAAGGGAAATAGGTTGATACACTTCAAAGACTTCTAAGAGAGCGTAAGCTTGGTGGTAGTAGAAGAAAAGCCCTATCCAAAGGATGGGGTGGAGATTCAACTGCATGGCGATACCGCGTGTAGGATCACCGCTAGATCAGCCTATTTCTCGTAGCCCACTGTTGAGATTCAAGAAAAAAAAAACGTTTTCTCTGGGTTGGTGAACAATACACCTGTACCACGCTGCTTGAAGCAGCTGTTGCGCGCTATAAGGGGCTTATTTGTACTTGTACGGTACGGAGTACTGCCCTCTATAATCAGCGGCGAGGCACGTCCATTGTGCAAGGTGCCAACTGCATGAGGAACACGCAATCCAATCTATAGCGAGCGGGCTGTAGCAAGGGGAGAGCAGGTGCTAGCCTGCTTCCTCTGGTCCTTCAATTTGCCCATCGTGAGATAGTACGGAGTAGAAACCAGTAAGAATGATGACAGGTGAGGGGAAAGCTACTCGCTCCCGAGTCATTTATCAAGCATGCACATCGCGTCTGTGATAGTGACTATCCCTGCCGGAATCCGACGGTGAGCCGCCGAGAGCGGGTAAAGGAAGCGGTCCTGGTGCTAGTGTCAACACCGAGCTCATAGATCCAGATACGGCATACAATCGAGTCATCTGTGTCAGTGCCTGGATGTACAGTACAGTACTGTAAGTATGGTGTACTGTAATCATATAACATAACAACTTAACAGTATGAGGTATGAGGTAAGTCAGCTAATCAGATAGTTACGGAGTAGCCTAACTACGAGGAGCCAGGATTGATGATGACTAATATCAACAGTCCCTAACTAACTAATCGGGATGCCTCAGGTTTGAGGGTGACGTTGAGCTCCCTCTGCCTAGACGGGGACCTACAGAGTTGACACTTCTGCCAGAGTTGAAACCCCCCCCTCCCCCCATCTCTTCTTGTGCTTTTACCAGTCATCGCGTCGATGTGAAATATCTCTATTAAATATACTTGCTTGATTTCTTCTCCTTCTCTCCGAGCGTGCCATGGCTTCGGAAACCAATATCCCAGTGAGCTCTGAAGCTCGTGAATTGAGCTTGATATCCAAGGTTGAGCTTAGGATCGCCCTTGCGGACTCGGACGATAGGCTCCAGACACTCCTAAATACTTATTTGACACCTCTGCTGTTGAAACTAGGCTCTGAGAGCATTGCGGTTCGCAACAAAGTCATTTCGGTTTGTCAGCACATCAACACCCGAGTTCAATCCCCCACTATCAAGCTCCCCGTGGCGGCTTTGTTGAAACAGTTCAAGGAACAGAAATCTCACCTGATCAGACATTTTGATCTGCTCTATATTCAGCAAGGTGTTCTTCGCCTAGGGTCAAATGCAAGGGTAGAGATCCTACTTCCTCTACTTCAGGGAATCTCGGAGATCGGCTCATCCACCAATCAAGCTGCCACTGTTTTTAACTTGGTTCTGAGGCTTCTCCCGCTTTTGAGATTACCACCCAAGGATAGCGATGAAGATCTGCATTTAAAGACTCATTTGGGTCTCTCTGACCAAGATACGCAATTTTTGTCATCTCTGTTTGAGAAACTGCTCATTCTTTCCCCCGCGGACAAGGATAAGTCCACATGTCCGGGACTATCCCCAGCAGAATATACTTTCCTGAACAAAGATGCTCCTATCTCCGAGACTTGGAATGCTTCCGATGGCGGGCTAAACCTCACTGAGACTAAAGTCAATGTCCTCAGATTCCTAGCCAGCGGAGCCTTTGCCAATTCAGAGCGATTCCTGCCTGCTGTGATTGCATCTGCGGATGCTAACACTCGTCTATCTGATATCGGCGAGGAATGCCTCAAAAGGTTTGTACCAAGCCTTGAGGATCCCCATGTTGTGCGGCAGTTGTACGACCTTTACTTGGGTGCAGGAACGTCAGATGGAGCCACGCCGGCTCGACCTGCTCTGCAGATTAAACTACTGGCCTTCCTAGGGAGATCAATCAAGGCGACCAGGGATAAAGAGCGCATTATGCAGGTAATAGGGGAAGGACTTCTATCAGACAGTGCGAGATCCATACAAGGACTGCAAGCGTCCAAGCTACGGACGCAACTTTTCAATTTTACTACGTGGGTTGTGAGGATGGGCTTGTCAGATGATCTACAGCAAATGGCACCGAAGCTTATAGCAGGCTTGATAGACTTCATCCAGTCTCAAGGATGGCCGAGCCCCGCGGCAAGTGGTCAAAAACTCCCGCAGACGGAGCTTAGTTTGCGAGGTATGGCTTACGAATGTATTGGTATCATGATCCCCAAGGCAGACTTCCAGGTCCAGAAGGGAGAAGGTGCTTTGTCTGGCTTTGAACTTATCAAATGGCTATTTACATCGCTCAGCTCTGATGACTCAAGCACTCAGATATTCGTCAGTATCGAACAGGCATTAGGAAATATTCTCAGTTCTTCAATGAAGAAATGGGATCATGACTTTCAAGCGCAACTGCGACCCTTTCTCCTTCAGCAAATGAGTAATCAGCCTGAACAAGAGGACCATTTGACCGGGTTTACTGTTGTCCGCGGCCCTCAGCATGCAACAGTACGATTCGCGAACAGATTTTTACCTTACAATGATGTTATCGCCCGATGGATAGATCTCATGGCCATTGCTCGCGGCTCAGAAAAGCATCATGAAGTGGTAGAGGAGGGACAGAAAGGCCTGCATCCTTACTGGTTCCGACTCCAGAACTCCAATCACGATCACAACTTGTCCCCCAATGAGCTATCTTCATGGTACTCTTTCCCGAGATTCTCTGACGCGGTGCGCTTTCTACTTGGCACCACTCCATCGCAAGGCATATCTGGTTTGTCTGCATTAGACATACTATCGGGGCCGTACCAGAACGCCTTCCCAGCGGCTATCGGGTTTCTTCGTAACATTTTGTTTTGGGAATCCCTCTCCGCTTCAGAGGCCGGTTTTGAGATAGAGCATGATTGGGATGTCAAATTGGACGTGATGCTTAGCTCTGATCAACAAGCACGAGATGCATTGAGGAGTTACCTTCGATCTACTGACGACGAACCAATTGCCCTGTTTCTCTCGAGTGCGCTCACTGGCTTATCTCGCGAGAACAGGAAAGGCACACAACAATGCGGAAAGATCTTCATCAGCATATCCTCCCTGAGCCCCAACAACATACTTGAGAAGGTGGTGCCGCAAACATTGGCACTCGGGAAACCATTGAACAGTAATAATCAAGAGGTACAGGACGCTTCTGCGCGAGCCATTGGCATTTTGGCTTCGCACCCCGCCTTTTCGACCACGGATTTGACTGTACTCATCACCGAACTATCCGATTTGATGGTGGAGTGGAAGGCTGCAATCGGTGAGGCAGCACTTAGGGTCAGGGGTGCAGTAATGGCTCTGTCTTACCTGTTAAGCAGGCTTGCGTTCCGCAACATGATTTCTAAAGTGCCGGAAGCCTATGTGAGACGATTTATTGACACCGTTTCTGATATGGTAAACGCTCGTGACTCTCTCCTGTGCCGGTCCGCCCAGGCTGCAGTTGGGAGACTTGGTCTTTCTAATCTCCTGTCCTTCTCGATGCTTCCTGAATCTAGATGGGTCACGATAAGAGATAGACTTGTTCAGGAGGCCAAGGCAGAGAATGAAGTGGCCATCATGGCGATAGGACTGTTGTCAATGGCCATCTCCGGAGGTGACTCTACTGGTATAGGACTCGATGGACTAACGCAAGCCCTCTATGATCTTCATGAGAATCGCAACTCAGAGCTTCACTTCACAGTCGGTGAGGCACTGAGCAATGCTGCAGCTGGCTGGAATTCTAAGTCACTAGTACTGGAATTTGATGTGGACCAAGCAATTCCCGCGTCCGCGATCCCAGAATCAGTTCTCGCTGAAGTATGCGACAAAATCTTATCTAGCTGCAGTGCATCAAAACCCTCTCTACGAAAGGCTGCTGCTATATGGCTCTTGAGCCTTGTCAAAAACTGCGGTCATCTGCCCGAGATGCAAGCCCGTCTGCGAGATTGCCAGCGTTCATTTAGCAACTTGCTTGTTGATCGCGAAGAAGTCGTCCAAGAGACCGGAGCGCAAGGCCTAAGTCTCGTTTACGCAATTGGTGACCGGGGATTGAAGGACGACCTGGTACGTGATTTGGTGGATTCTTTTACTGAAGGTAAGTCCAATCTAAGAGGAGGCCGGGTCAACGAGTCTACCGAATTGTTCGAGCCAGGAGCCCTACCAACTGGGGGAGGATCATCTGTGAATACCTATAAAGATATCATGAACCTCGCTGCCGAAGCGGGGGATCCTAGTCTGGTTTATCGGTTCATGGCGCTGGCCTCGAACAATGCCCTTTGGACCAGCCGTGCGGCTTTCAGCAAGTTGGGGATAAGCAGCATATTCTCTGATTCAAGCGTGGACGGCTACCTTGCGAAGAACCCCAAGATTTATCCAAAATTGTTCCGTTACAGATTCGACCCGAACCCAAATGTGCAGCGATCAATGGATACAATATGGCGGGCCTTGATTAAGAATCCAACAGAAGTGATTGATGCTCATTTCGATGAGATCATAGCTGATCTACTAAAGAGCATGCTGGCAGGACGAGAATGGAGGGCTCGGCAAGCGAGCTGCGCTGCTATTGCCGACCTCATTCAGGGGCGCCGGCCGGAAACGTACGCAGAATATATGCAAGAGATCTTTACTAAAGCTTTTAAGCTACTAGACGACATCAAAGAAACAGTTCGGGTGTCAGCAATGAAGCTTTGCCAGACCATCACCAACATGATCATGCGCACATTAGAGACAAGCAAACCCGATGCGAAGCAAGCCAGTTCAATGCTGGAGACCGTTATCCCGTTCCTACTGAGTGACAAAGGCATGGAGTCCGGGGTGGAAGAAGTTCAAGGATTTGCGATTGGAGCACTAATTCAAATGATCAAGAAGAGCCCTGGAAAACCGCTGCGCCCATTCGTGCCTCAAATAATGGAACAGTTCTTAAGCTGCTTGAGTTCCCTGGAGCCCCAGGCCGTGAACTATGTTCATCTCAACGCTGACAAGTATGGTTTGACGGGGCAGGATATCGACAAAATGCGTCTATCCAGCATCCGCACGTCGCCTATGATGGAAGTCATTGAGCGGTACCTCATTGATATGCTCGACGTAGAGAGCATGAAAGAATTTGCCTTGAGGCTAGAGGGAGTACTGCGCTCAGCAGTGGGCCTTCCGTCCAAAGTGGGCTGCAGTCGTGTCCTGGTACTCCTAAGCATGCGGACCACATTATTTCGCCCCTTCGCAGACCGCTTTATTCAGCTCCTTGGGAAATACGTGGTAGATCGCAATGACACTGTTAGCGCGTCCTATTGCTCCTCGACCGGCTATTTGATGCGCCTTGCTACTGATGAGCGATTCTTGAGCACGATTGAGCACGCGAAGAAGTTATAC